GTATAAATACAACATGTTGATCAATTTCAACAAGAAATAAGTGTAATTTAATCTCGACAAATTGAAAAACTAGCTAAACATTATAAATATTAATTTTATTAATGGACTTTATTAATGTTCAACTAAAGAGTTACGAAAAACGATGATTTATTGTTGGAAAAAAGTTGGTTACGTAAAAAATCATATAAATATTAACCGAAAGACCGGTTCATTGAAGAGTCTTGACCACCTTCATGATGGGCATTGATCGTCGAGCATTAAAAAATATAGAGATGTCACTCGTATTGCTTGAATTTGTCTTCCTAACATGGAGGAATATACGAGTATACTTCTTAAAAATAATTGTGGGTTTCTCGACCAATGGAAGAAAATCTACAAAATAAAATAGTATTTTTTGTAAACGGAAATCAGCGTGTCAGTGTTTTCTACTAGTAAAGAAATTTGCCTAACAAATTTGCCTAACAAATATGCCTGACAAATTTGCCTAACCAGCAAAAAATGTTTAACGCTTCAGGAGGTATATCTAGGTAAAATATCTAAATACAACTGTTCAAAAACACTTTAGTTTTCTCAACAGATACGTCTATTATAAACCGTTGGCGTTCCGAATATACAGGCTGGCCCAAATTGTATTCGGGAAACTTTCAAAAACATACCAAATCACCTGTTTTCATTTTAAAAAATAAAAAGTTATAGAGGTGAGCCACTTTTGAGATATATTCGGTATATTATAATTTTAACCGAAAGACCGGTTCATTGGAGAGTCTTGACCACCTTCATGATGGGCATTGATCGTCGAGCATTAAAAAATATAGAGATGTCACTCGTATTGCTTGAATTTGTCGTTCTAACATGGAGGAATTCTTGAAAATAATTGTGGGTTTCTCGGTCACTGGAAGAAAATCTACAAAATAAAATAGTATTTTTTGTAAACACCACTAGGTACATTGAATCCAAACGGAAATCAGCGTGTCAGTGTTTTCTACTAGTAAACAATTTTGCCTAACAAATTTGCCTAACAAATATGCCTGACAAATTTACCTAACCAGCAAAAAATGTTTAACGCTTCAGGAGGTATATCTAGGTAAAATATCTAAATACAACTGTTCAAAAACACTTTAGTTTTCTCAACAGATACGTCTATTATAAACCGTTGACGTTCCGAATATACAGGGTGGCCCAAATTGTATTCGGGAAACTTTCAAAAACATACCAAATCACCTGTTTTCATTTTAAAAAAATAAAAAGTTATAGAGGTGAGCCACTTTTGAGAAATATTCGGAATTTTATAATTTTATTTTCTGCTTCCTAAACTTTTAAATGATTTTTAATTCTTCTCTGTACTAATTAATTTCAATCCAGCCATTTATTCAATACATTCAGGTCGTTTTAAAGTCTAAATCGCCCTGTATATTATTCTTCCAGCTCTATTTTCTAATTACGCGTGCAAATATTCATATATATTTTACTTAATTATAATAAAGACTATAAATATTTGTTCGACGTGGTTATAATACAACTGGAAAAAAGGTAATAAATGGGTCAAATACCTGCCGCTGAATAGGTGGCTGTCAACCGAACAAGGGCAAAAAGAAATAATTTTCAAACATAAAATCTTTGCCTGGAATCTTAAGAGAAATAAGTGAATATAGAGGAGTTTGAAGGGAAGAACATAAATATCATTGTTTTGTTGTCAACACGGCTAATACGCCTCAAAGGGTGAGCGTTACAGAATATACAACGTAATCAATATAACGTAAATATTTTGACTTGGCTTGCTTTCTAGAATGCTGTAACGTTTTTAGTTCGTTACATGTCTTTTTTACATATAATATATGATGTCTGGCCTATCGTCACCGGATTCCCTCTCGTTCAGGCCTGATCATTTTGTTGGTACGCTTGGCGTAATTTTTACGTTCCCTAGTCGCCAACCCTGCTATCGTTTCACTATTCTGTGGAGGCGCGCGCTGTCAACATCGCTTCTTCACTCTCTGTGATTTAACGGCACTTTTGGTTTGACCGTTTGGCCTGTCAGACGCCATTAGTCCCAGTTTTTAGAAATGGTGATTATTTAAATCTTGCTGTATAATCTGAATCAGCTGCTATTTCAAAGCAACAGGTAAAGATGAGTTATTACCTTTTATAGATTCGATATTATTATTGAATATTTTTAGGGTAGACCCAATTTTTGGATGTCCCAACTTGTATTTGTATTTTGCTGGCACGTTGGCGTACCTTTTCTTTTGTCCTCCAGAATGTCACATGGAAGAAAGGACAGGTTGTTTATTATTTATTGAACCCTCGGAAGTATTTCGAGGTAGATTTATTTTGTTTATTAGACCTTGTTTGGTTTTAAACAAGAGTTTCATATTTTTAGGGTCCAAGGTACGGGTAGTGTCTTATGTACGGACATTATCTTATGTACGGATGTCCTGTGGACGAGTGTCCCCAGTAAGAATGATTTTTCTTACATATAAGTGCCACAGCGTGGATGTAGCTTGAGTCCCATGCTGCTTCGTTCCCAGCTATAAGCTAGTTAGTTACGGCTGTATCAATTCATGGTGTCCTCATTCTGGCCCCTTTGGTTGTGTTGGATGGCTGAGTACAGAGATGCGAGACCACCTCACGCTGTTACTGTTTAAAGCAAGATTACATAAAGAACAGCTAAGTGTAGATTTAAGTTCTAGTTTTACATTTAACATTTAAAACATTTACAGTCTTAAACAATACCGTACATCTTAAATAATATCGTACCGACTATGTTTAGTGGTTAGATTGTTAAGAACATTCATGTCGATTTAATATTTAATATAATAATTAATACTAAATATAATTTAGATCTTAGGTTTCATTGCATTACATCTTGTAATGGTATTACTTTATTAACATAGATTCTAGAATCTACAGGTTGCAACATCTTCGATTTAGCATCATATGGAATATATCAAATTAATTAAAGTAATGCTACATTTCATATATTCTCTTAAACTTTACATGTCTTGTATTTTATCGTAGTTGTTTTCATTGATATTTAGTACGACTCTTACCACCACTTTCTTTGACATATAACCACTATATATTTATTAGAACTCTACAATGTCATGTACCATCTAAGAACATCATGAATAAATATAGTCATTAGTTTTTAAGTAATATACAACTGTGTTTTCTTTCTCTGTACATGCCTGGCGCCCAATATTTATAATTTCGAGTTATGATTGTTAATTAGTTTCTTTCCAGTGAAATACCTTATCCACGACTGCTCTACCAACGAAAAGCTGCCGTTCGCAGTGATAATGTCAAAATGTTCGCAGTGATAATGTGTACCTAATGGTTGATTCAAAAAGGAATTTAGAACGTCTCTGCGTTTACTTGTTTCTCTGAGCTGAAATCTCATTGAGACTTCGCCCTTATTAATAAAGTAATAATCCGTTTATATTCCTCGCTACTCTACACAGTTAATTAATTCATAAATGGATCGAGAACATCAATGAAATAGATTTTTTTCTCTTTGACGGGTCGGTCAGATAAATAAAAACGGCGGCTTTTAGCATTTGTAATTAGAGCGCTTTTTTATTTTTAGAGATTTTAACGCCTCAGAGCGATAAAAACCATAAGAAACCTTAGTATTGTTAAATCAAACATGCTATTCGTTCTTTTTGAAAGATTTTGACTTTAATGGCTAATACTTAGGCATTAGGTTAAATATACAGTATGTCCCCGAATAGTGCTTACAAGAGAAAAAACATTTTATTAATAAAGTTATGAGAAAAATGCATTCATCATCAAAGCTTTTGTTTGTTCTAAAACCTTTTCAAATTTTCCAACCTTTTTAGAGAAAAATAAAAAAAATATGACCGAATGATTTTTCCTCTTGAAGAGTCCAAACTATCAAAGATCTTATGGATATATCATTTATTTTCATTCTTTGAGAGATGATTATTATTAATTTTAAATAAAAAACATTAAATAGTTTTCTAGTCTTCATATTTCTCTATACATGGTGTCCCAGAAATAAGTGCAAGTATTTCAAGAGGTGGTAGATCTCGATAAAAGAGACATATTTTCTCTTTATCGTTTTTCAAATAAGTCCAAAATAACGGAGTTATTTTACTTTGAAAATTTCCAAAAAAAAAGTTTTTTTGCTAAAATTTTTAAAACTAAAAAAAAATTCAAAAAATTTTTCAAATCTTTTTTTCGCAAAAAAACCTCATAGACATGTTTCTGGGATTGATCTAAACTACCAGTTAAAATACTTGCACTTATTTCTGAGACACCCTGTATAATTTTCTAGCTAGAAAAGGAGCAAACCGAAGAAAGTGGAAATCAACTTAAAGCTGAACTCAAGAACCTGGAAGACAAGAACTTGGAAACTCCTCAATGTACACCTCAGATTGAAGCTAAAATACAACGGTGAAGGCAGATTCTTTCTAAACACCCCACCTTAATCCTACCGAATCGATAAACTGCCCGAAAAGCCCCGAATTTGCAGCGATAATCGAGCCAGCGACGCCCAATCACACCTACTTCCGACGCTCGCCTGTCTAAAGCCCCGTTCTCAGAACTGCGTCGTGTCGACAGCGACACTGATTGACACTTTAAACGACCAATGGGAGCTGTACTAAATTTAAAATTGACAGCTGTTTGAATTTTGTACAAATCTCATTGGTCCTCTTGACGTGTCGCTGGCGACAGTCGCTGTTCTGAGAACGGGGCTTAACACCTGAAAATCGCGTGGGTGTGGGCCACGTGCCTCGCCTCCTGCCATTGGTCAGGCGGACGTTAGACGCGCGACGGTGGGGCGGATATGGGCGTGGCCTTCTATTGCGCCAGGCAATTGTTTCAGCCGGGCGCCTGAAAGCACAGTTAGGCTTAGATTGTTGCCGCTAACGGTCGCACGAAGAGAGTTTGCGCGTTGTTTAGGCATATTTTACGATATATCTTGAGGTGATTTATATAAGTATGTGCTTGATCGTGGATTAGGAAGATTTTTCCGGTTTATTTTCGGTGTGATTGATGTAACTGATTGAGATTTATAGAGACTGTTGAAGATTATTTGTGAAAGTGTACTTAAAAATACTGATACATTGGAAGATATGGTAATATTGTAAGTATTATTTTATTTATAAAAATATAAGTAGATGACTTTTGGTGTTACAACAGCAAAATAAAACACTAATTCGCCACAGTACACCAGAAGACTTTACTTTTAACACTGGACGCACGTTTCGCTAACCATGTTAGCATCAGATGATTAGTTGGAACTTAGTTTTTTACTATTAATCATCTGCTGATGATGCTAACATGGTTAGCGCAATGCGTCAAGTATTAAAAGTAAAATGTGTTGGTGTATTATGATGAGTTAGTGTTTTTTTACTAGATTCATAGTTTAAAATGCTTTGCGTGTTTAAATTTAACTAAATAATTTATAATAAGTATAACAAATAAGAATATAGTCTGCTAATTTACAAATTACACGTTAAATTTGATAAAAAAATACTGTCCTACATGTCTCACTTGAATCTAATAAACCTTTGTTTAATATAAAATATTAAAAAAAAGCAAAAACTAAAATATACTTTTCAAATCACAAATGTGCTGTTTAATAAACACACTTCTAATAAATAGGATGGCAATTTACAAAAAATATAGTTTATGTCAATAACTGTGACACTTGACAGAGTATGTCATGTTTGGTAATTATTATTATTATTAAAACTAAAAGAACGAAAGCTGTTAGTGGATTTGTAAACAAATTTACCATATACCATTAAAAAGTTTTTGAAATCAAAAACGTATTCTTATTTGTTTATTTAACATGAATATACGTTGGGTTTACTAAAAATTAATAGTTAATAATATTTCAGAAAGATATTAATTGCTGGAAGAATAGGAAAAGTTAAATTGAATTTCAAAATTTTGATGAAGAAGTGCGTCTCATGCATACTAAAATTAAGTAATGCCATTTTTCTTTTTCTGTGTTGATCTAATTTAATTATTTCTGCTCTATAATTTGACTGACATAATTGTTTAAATAGTTGGTTAATTTTATAAAAAAATATCTATGAAATCACCTATTATTGTTGTTTTACAAAATTGCTTGGGGTTTCTTGTCTATTCGACTCTTGATGTCTCCACGTATTTTTTATTATTAATACAGTAAAACTTGGTATAATTGAGATATGATGAAGTCTTTATAATAATTCAGTGTACTTACTTATAGATACTGATTTTCTGATGTACAGGGTGTAGATAAATACCTAGGTGCGAAAAAAAATTCGATGTAGTGTTTTTTAATAATCAGGAGGGGTTTTTCGTATATTTTTATTCTAAAAAGTTAACATTTTATATATAGTTTCACTCCTCTAGTGGCATTTTTGTGATATACACTTAGATATGTGATATATTTAGGAAAAATTATTTTTCCTTACAACAAAATTTTAGAATAGATATTAAGAAAAATTTCTGTCACTGCAGGTACAAAACGCTTCAAAATCAATAGTTTCATCAAATCAAACCACTTAAATATAACGGCATTTTTATATTATGAACACAGCATATCCCAAAACTGAGCTTTTATTAATATAGTTTCTAGAAAACTGAAATATCTAGATCGGATCTTTTTTGCATCACTATTTTTTTTCACAATAAATTTTCTCGATTAAAAATATTTTCAATATGGCAACACTTCCAGGACTACCGGAAGTTAGCAGGAACTTTATTAATTATAATAATAATAATATAAGTTTATTTTGCAAGAAATAATAGGTATACAATAAAATATAAACACATCTAAAAACTACAAAACAAACTTATACATCAATATCATAGACACATAATTAGTTATAAATATAATAAACAGAAAACCAAATTTAATCATAATTAATTTTAGTTTTATAACTTTAACAAAATAATTCGATAAATGAATTAATAATTAAACATTTAGTTGAAAATATTACATACATTATCCACTAAAGAAAAACATTTACACAATGAAGGTAATAATAATATAACAATAAAAATAAAATAATAAAAAACAATTCAAATTTAAATTCTCAACACTCTATATCTAAAAATATCCGTTTTAAGAAAACAAATGTTTGGAGCTGAAGAAACACTGTATCTTAAATAGAAAGCATGTGACTATTTTAAAAATATATTTTTAATATTTACACAATAAATTTGAAAAATATAAGTTATCATATTACTGTACTTAATTACTAGTTCCATACAATATAAATATCAAATATATTTAAAAAAAAATTTAGAAACTTTTTGATAGCTGAATTCAGCTTCAACTATAGCCAATAAATGAGAACTTTTGAAAAACTTTAGTTATTGAAATTATAACGCCCTTGTTCTCTTTAGGCCTCAGTATACGCAAATGTCATAAATAAAGTCCATGCACACATTTTTTTGGTGGTTGAATTTTATATATTTGGAAATTCGATTTTTTTTTGCTTTGAATTAGTTTGGTTGTCTGATTGATTTACCTCTTTGAATAAGAAGACTAAGGAAGGAGCATAATGCTATCCATGTATTCATGCATGGTGGGCGGAAAAGGCACCATAAAAGCTCTCTAGGGTGGGGATTCTTGACAGTTCTGTTTGACGATTCATTTGACACATTTGAATTTCATTTGAAATTTTGTGGATTTGTCAGTCTTTATGGAGCTTATTTTATGTTATTTATTATTTATTCTACTACTGATAGTTGTATAAAGGTAGTAAATCTAGATGGAAATTGTGGCAGAACTTAAATTAACAGTGACACTATCGCGATTTATCGAAAAAGACTCTAAAATAGTTGGTTGTGTAGCGTGCGGTAGATCTCGGCAAAAATTGAGTGAAATAATGGAACAACTTTTCGCTAGTAAGTGACTATATAATATACATACGTGTAGTAAACCGATCATTTATGAAATTCACTTAAATTAACTAAATTATATATTTTTCTGGCATTTTAGCTTTTATTTATTACTTGTCAAAGATTAGATGTCAAAGAATTTAGATACGTTAATTTGACTTACCTGCTTCAGTAGCGTATCGGATGTTTGTGTTAATAAATACTTATTATAACTTATCTATTTTTATTAGAATTATATATTTTTATAACAATTTTAATAACTACCAACATTTATTCACAACGTAAAATAAAACAACAAATTATTGAGTCTACCCCACGTCTACCCAACATCATAGTTTTACATTTTTTAAATAAAATTAGAACGACACTGATAAACCGGAATTTAAGTCGGCCATATTTGAGGCCCATCGCGGTGTACCTAAGATTTTTAATATGCTCCTTCCTTAGTCTTCTTATTCAAAGATTTACCTACTACACGTAACGTGTAGATATTATATACAATATGATCGAAAAAAACGGCGTCAGTGATGGCTATGAAATGAAGATCGCTCTCATTTGATATGTAAAATTATATGGGAAATGTCATCAATCGTCATTTCCAAGCCAACTGGACGCCGTTTCTATTCGATCATACGGTATACAGGGTGTTCCTTAATGACATGCTAATATTTAAAGAGGTGATTCTTGGACCTATTCTAAGAAAAAAAACTTCATATGAATATGTATATGAATATATGTCCTGAACATTTTAACTTTTCAGATACAGGGTGGTAAAATTTTCTATTTTTCGATGCACGTCTTTTATGCATCAAAATGCTTATTTTCATATACAAAAAAATGGTCTTATTTCTTAATTTCCTTCCGGCCGATTAAGAAACACCCTGTATAGTTACTTACCAGTGAAAATTATTCTCTTAATTAACTCGATTTTTGACCAAGATCTATCGCATAAGTATCAATTTTAAATTATTTTTTGGTATTCCAAAATAATATCACTGTTAATTTAAATTCTGACACAGTATCCTTCCAGACTTGCTACCTCTGCACAAAACCAGTTTGTAGTATAAATAACAAATATCATAAATTAGCTAAACAAATCCGCAAAATTTGAAATAAGATTCAAATGTGTCAATTGAAAAATCTTTTAAGAAAGTCTTTTTTACTTCCATTTGTTTAATTGTGTGTGGGTAATTTATTCTTTTAAAAGGCATATTCGGTAGATTCTCAAGGTTTTTTTATATAATTTTTAATCCAATGAAAATGAAAAATCTAACACCAAAAAAGTGGTAAAATTTTCACCAAAATCAATAAATAAAAAAAATCCCATTATGATGCCCCGATCACATTTATCTACCGACACCATACGAATCCTATACCATCCCACGCATATCAATTCAAACTCTTTCACCGGGCTATCTCTATCGTAAATTAGCCGCGACTTGGAAGGCATGCGGAGATGGTGGACCGTGCCCAGGCAACGCGAAGCCACAGATGAAGAAGAAATGGGCAAAAACGGCGCGTCCCGAGGCGCTTCGGTTATTAAACAATTGTAATTCATTAGGGTTGTCGCCAAACCAGTAATTACCTTTTCTGATTAATTATATTCGAGAAAGAGAATCGATAAGCATCGGCATCGGAACGGACGCGCGGAGAAATCTCCGGCGATAGGCGAGATAACGTAGGGATGGGCGGATGATATCGACAAAGAAAAATATCGATATCGATATTTTTGGGAAATGTCGATATCGATACTTTTTGTCTTTTTTATTATACAGATAAGATTAGGTAAAAAAGTTTGTATAAATGTATGTCCTAAAATACTTTATTTTTTAAAATACGTTTTAATTTTTATTTCGATTTTTTCCAAATAATTTATGTAGTAACGTCAATATTTGGATGAAAATTGATGTTTGCGAGTATTTTGACATGAGAAATTTGATTTTGATGTCAGTATGACTCCTGTTTATAGAGGGCGCCACCTACTTATTTTTTAACTAGTTTAAAGAGTAATAACTTTTCGTCCGTACCTGTATAAAACTACTGAAAAAAATATACATTTGCGTCGTTTTTAACGTAAAAAAGGTATCTTGGTAAAAATCGCTACGAGTAATGGTTCTCGAGAGATTTGAAATCGAAATTATTACTACCTGTCGTCAATGACATAATTTAAACCTGTTGACTAAATAGTTATTAAACTGAAATCATAAATTTGAAATTTGGATTTTTTTTAGTTTTTCGTTAAAAACCATAATTTCTTGACAATATGGCAACATAGGTAGTAGATTAAATTTACAAGAAAGAAAACCCAGAAAAGATCCAGTGGTTCTCAAAATTTAAGCAATTTTTTTTTGGAAATTTTCAAAGTAAATTTAAATATTTATAGGTATCAATAAAAACCAATAAGGTATAGTTTTTAATTAATTACTTCTTTATTCTTATAAATACCTTCAATTTAATTAAAAATAGCTAAGTAGTACTGACCAAATACAAGACCAAGACTCCCTTGGTCTTGGTCTTGCTGAAAGAGTCTTGCAAATTTTGGCGACAGGCGAGATAACGTAGGGATGGGCGGTGGAATCGACAAAGAAAAATATCGATATCAATATTTCGAAAATATCGATATCAATGTTTTACCAAAAATATCAATATCGATATTTTTATTTATAGATTTTTATTAAGTGAGGGAATTCAAAGGGGAGAGTCAACCCAACAGATTATTTTAGGTTAGGATCTAAACAATCTGAAATACTAGTCTTAATAAAAATAATAAAACAAATTGTGTTTTTCAAATATAATCAAAAAAGAAATTTTGAAAGATCTCACGTGAGATTAGCTCAAGGGCGACGAGGTCGTAATAAATCTCACGACTTCTAACCAATCGGAACGGAAAGGGGGTCAAGAAATTCTCAAAAACGCCTTAAAACGCCATCTTAGCAATATTGCCAGAAGACAAAAACTGACCAAAAGTCAATAATTCAAATAGTTTGTCGCTAAATTCAAACCAATAACTGTATCCTAGAATTCGAAGATATAAACATCGACGAAGTAAAATATGAATAAATCTGACGATAGCCTAGAGACACTTTAGGAATGAGCTTTAAAATCGATAAAAAAAAATATCGATATCGAAAATTTACTCTGGACATACGTTTTCAGGTCTTTTATGATATATTTGAACGTGAAATTTGAAATTTTTCTATTATTTTCAGGCACACGCCTTCCCTGTCGCCTGGCATGTCGTGCCGGGTTCCGTATGCCAGTGGCGGCGGCTCGGTTCACAACGACTGGGATATAAACGACAGTGCCGTGCCCCGAATCAACGACTACGACCCGTTTTCGGAGTGGGCGGATGGTCATTGTCGACTCGTCTACAGGTAACTTATTTTTTTAATAATAATAATAATAGTCACATTTCCATATAACTGCATTTTTTTTCTAAATATTGCAATTAAAAAAAATAAGCACGTAATAATCAAATAATATGTATTTGATTATTATTGGTGTTTGACTTATATTGACTTTATATCTGTCAATAGAAATTGTGGTTAGGACAAAAAAGTTGATTGTTTTATAAGCTAATTATTATTAAACTTTCTCTGTGGATACAGCAACTTTTTGCTAGGATGTTCTATCAATTTTAACTGGATTTTTTTCACATTATGAATGATCGTAAACTCGATAAAAATAGCTGACAAAAATAATAATATAAATATTCATACTACCTAATGTCTTTCTATTACAGAGCTGACAATGAGGAAGCTAAACGTCACTCGTCGGGCTGGGCAATGAGAAACACCAACAACCACAACGTCCACATTTTAAAGAAGAGCTGTTTAGGCGTATTAGTGTGCTCACTTAGGTGTACGCTACCTAGCGGTGACAAAGTACACTTGCGACCTGCGATTTGTGACAAAGCCCGCAAAAAACAGCAAGGTAAGGATACCGGTAAGTGTCAGTGCTTACCAATATAAGCTGTGTTCAGAGTCTGTGTGTTATATTAATTAGAGACGAGCACAAAACCACTAAATCAAATACTAAATCATGTCAAAAAACTCCCAGAAACCAATTTTCATCCAAATATTGACGTTACTTCAGAAATTAATTAGAAAAATCGAAATAAAAATGAAATTTCTTCACCCTGTATCTCGGAAACTAAGCATTTTCGGACATAGATTTATACGAACTTTTTTACTTATTTTTATCTGGAGAATATGCTGCCAATTATTCCGGAATAACAGTTCAGACCACCCTGTATAAACTAGGTAGTTTTAAGATTCATTATATAGATTAGTTCATACTTATAATACTGTATATATAAACATTATGTTTTTCCTTACAGGTAAACCTTGTCCTAACCGTCAATGCAACGGCAGGCTCGAGATCCTACCCTGCCGAGGCCACTGCGGCTACCCGGTGACCCATTTCTGGCGCCACACCGAGCAGGCGATATTTTTCCAAGCCAAAGGTGTCCACGACCATCCCAGGCCCGAGGCCAAGAGCACCAGCGAGGCCAGAAGGTCGCTGGGCAGCGGCAGGAGGGTGAGGAGTCTGGCAGTGCTGTTAGCCAAAGAAGCTGCATTAGGAAATAAGGTAGGTGACAAATATTGAATATAAAACCTACTCCTGATTAATAGTCTATTTGTCCAGTGTCTTTCAACTAGAGGTGGGCAAATATTGAACGAATCGTTCATTAGAACGAGTCGTTTATTAGAACGAGTCGTTTATTAGAACGAGTCGTTTATTAGAACGAGTCGTTTATTAGAACGAGTCGTTTATTAGAACGAGTCGTTAATTAGAACGAGTCATTCATTAGAACGTGTCGTTCATTAAAACGAGTCGTTTATTAGAACGAGTCGTTTATTAGAACGAGTCGTTTATTAGAACGAGTCGTTTATTAGAACGAGTCGTTTATTAGAACGAGTCGTTTATTAGAACGAGCCGTTTATTAGAGCGAGTCGTTTATTAGAACGAGTCGTTTATTAGAACGAGTCGTTAATTATAACTAGTCATTCATTAGAACGTGTCGTTCATTAAAACGAGTCGTTTATTAGAACGAGTCGTTTATTAGAACGAGTCGTTTATTAGAACGAGTCGTTCATTAGAACGAGTCGTTTATTAGAACAAGTCGTTCATTAGAACGAGTATTAAAAATGAATCGTGAGATTGGAATCACCGCTTAGAAAACAGTTCGTTCAATTGAAGCGTGACCAGCACGGATTCATAAAATCTGAACGAACGAGTGGTAAAAAAGAGTCGTATGAATTGAATCGGATCACAATGCGACTCGTTCGTTTCTACGGCTCGTTCGTTCAAAGAATCGTAAGAATTGGTTCATTGCTTTTTAAATATTAGAATTATATATTACGTATGAGCTTGGGTACCTAAACGTTTGTAATATAGGTAACAGCAATCATATAAATATAGATAAGTCATTATTATCTTGGTAATAAGATTTTATGTTCTTTTATACCAAAAATTTTAAAGTGCCAGTTTTTTCGTGCCGATGAGGGTAGATCGTAAAAAAATATTAGCGTAATAGATCGGTACAGTACCTGACGACTAGAAAACGTACCAAACCGGACAAACAAAGAAATAAGACAATGCGAACCAAGAGGCAGCCGTCCCACATTGGCGATTTAATAATAAACGCCCCAGAAATACGCGTATATATTTAATTTTTCAGACGGAACTCGGCACTGGCTCGTATAATTACAATATGTATTCAACTAATAAATAGGTACCGCCACAGTACCGCCGTTCGCTCAGGAGATCTACTCGATATCTATCTCAGAGTTAACTTACTTAACCCTTAGACCGTGCACTAGACCAGCGACTAGACACCGTCTCCCTGCCGTGTCTTTCTTGAAGCCGTCATAAGTTATTCAGAAGAACTTTGAAGATTCTTTTTATAGGGTTTGTACGGAGCAATCAAAATTCCTTTTCCATATTGAACACGATACCGGGTGCGTCTCAAAAGTGGCTCACCCCCTGTAACTTTTTTATTTTTTCAAATGAAAAAACGAGATTTGGTATGTTAGTCTATGACATAAATTAGGATTGATTGACGTATTCAATTGTTTTTGGTCATTTCCTGTTTCACCGAAAAATCGTCCAACTATACCGTTTATTATATTTAATATAAATTCGTCGATTACGTTCAATTTCTGATATTGTTTTGATTCTATTTTGAACACTATAGTTGTATTGGAAAATAGTAGCTTTTTGGATTGCCAATTTCACAAATAACAAAGTCAAAATTTGTAAAATTTCAAGAAGATGAAAAAACTGACGTCAACGCATTGACAAAATGTTTTGATTCATGTACAGCATCAATACCAATCGTTAATCCAACATAGTATTGCCAACGATTTCAGTTATGGTTTATCGCTCCTTACAAATACAATTATTATGCCCTGAAGTGACGTCAACCGCGAATTTATGTCGTCTACAAAACGCGCACTCGTTGGGCGTGTCCAGATGTTGTACAGTCTAAGACCTAACCGATAGATACCCTGGGGCGGGGAATCGCAACAATGCGATTGATGCAATAACAGATTAAGTCGCTGGATTCTGATTAAGCCGCCTGATTTTTTACGTGCCCCCTCTCGCTCTTTCTCTCTGCTTTTGCCTTTTGCTCAAAACCGAAACCTCGACGGTGTTATGGCCGCAGATAAGGATCGAACGCGGAACCGCAGATCGAAGCGCTGATAGAGTAAAAGATAGTCGATCTAAAGCCGTTTCTAGATGATCAGTGTGCTTGGACGCTTAATTCGGAATCGTGGAATTATAGGGCTCGTTCCGGATCGTCTTAGAACTGAGTTCCGCCCATAAAGCCCAACTCAGTTTCAGTATATCACCTGAAACTTTATATTAGAGGTGTGTAGTTCGTGAACGAACTAGTTCCAATGAACAATTCCCACCCCGGAACGAGAGGAACTAGTTCTCAGTTTCTCAAAGGACTAGTTCCTCGCTACGCGACGTACAGGGTAGCGCCACAGAATAGTAGCTAGATATTCTGTGGTAGCGCCTCTCATACGCCGCGGAGGTTCCAAGGAGAACGACAGTTTGTATGAAAATATAGAGAATTATACAGGGTGTCTCCAAAAAAAGTTACATATCAAAGTTGTATTTTCTGTAATGGAACACCCTAATATTAAGTGATTTTCGGATTCTGGGGGAAAAATAAAGTTTTTGACATATTTAACATTTTCTAGAAATAAAGAACAATTTTTAAATCACAATAAAAGCTACCTAAATTGGAATTTACCCGGTATAGCCTAATATGTAGTTAAATTAACTATTGTACTTTAAATTAAATTAAAACTTGATCCAAAAAGTTATACAGGGTGAGACAAAATTAATATTGAACATTGGTCACCTTTAAAAGCATGTTACTCTTTTATTTTAAATGGAACACCTAGTATATTATTCCGATATTCAATGGAGAATACACATCTCTTCAAAATACTATTAAGGTTGCTTACCCTCCAAACAAAGATTTCCTAGATATTTTTATTTACATGATTTGATCTGAGATCTGAGTAGATGTTTATTATTTGATAAAATCTAGGTGGCTGCGTGATATGTCTGACGTTCCTTCAACATAGCTGTCTAATTAGTCCAACTTTAACAACTAGTTACCATTTTGTGTCAGTTAAAACACAAAAACATTTCGCAGAAATTTGCCGAAAATGGAAACTTATCCTACATCAGAAAGAATTGATATGATTCTATTAGTTGGTGAATGCAGTGTGTATTCACCATTAATATTGCTTATAAAGCTTCTTAAGCCTCTCTTAAAATATCAAGAGACAACTTTTAATCGGCATTAAACTGCTTACACTATTTCGCTAAGAGAAAATAGTCAGTGGCGTACATGTTTTTTTAGAAAAATATTCCAGTGATAACCCATATGCACGTACCTGGTGAAGATGTCGACACTATTTTTAGCTTTAAAATATCTCGGATTTATAGTAAAAAAAATAAAATTTAAAAAATAAATAAGATTTCATTCGAAAACGCTACAAGTATTTGGGAGAAAATGGTAATAAATCAATAAAATAATAAGACTTTAACACCCTGTAGCTACGAAACAAAGAAGAATCGGACCTATGTCGATATGAAAAATAAATCATATTTTTACGTGAGCTCCCCACGAGAGATGGCACATGTTTTTTTGAAACACCCTGTATAATATAATATATAAAATATATAATAGGTATAAAATTGTACATTATTGATATTTATAAACAAATATTTTCTTTTTATTTCAGTTAATGTCCTTAAGAGAACCAAAAAGACCCTGTAGAGAAATCAACCAAGTCATTAGGAATAGTAATAACAACCCAACGACTCTAGTCACTAGTCAAGAAAAAGGTAAAACACCACCTAATATTCTCGTCAAACCATATTTAACATCTTTTTTTTTACTTTTAAGGATATTGTTCCTGTCCACCTTTCGAATGCATCTGTAGTTACCAGCCCAACTTACCAACCCAACTGCAACATTACCCCACTTCCCCTCAGTCTTACCAACCCGCCATCCAACAACACCTGGATGCTTATTGGACACAGGAACCAACTCAGACGTATCCCGCGGAATCGACGAGTTTGGAAAACACCCAGTACGACTTCAGTAACATTCCTTCTGACCTGTTTCACCCCGAAGAAATTTTCCAGCTTGACCAACCGATCAAACCAGAATTTATGTTGGTTCAAAACTCCACTATCCCTAGTAGTGAAATTGCGCGATCGCCCCCTACGCTTTTGGATCTAGGTAGTGGTACTATACATCGAGAATTTAAGTCTGAAGAGTACTGGCCCCAAACCAGCATGGGTTTTTTGAATGAGGACTCAAATACGAGCAGTAATAGTCGATTTAACGTCAACCAAAGTCCCGAAGTTCCTAAAATGCTTAATAATAATTTCGTGGGGTCGTCTCAACAAAATTACTATACAAATCCAAGTAAAGAAAGCTTACAACAAGTATCGAGTCAAGTATTTGATCAGCATCATGGTATTAGCGCGAGTGAGTTCAAACCAGAGATGCTGACGTACTTCAGCGATCCGGGACATCACCATAACTTTCCTAATAACCAGAATACGTCCAGAGGTAGTAAGGAGAATTATCCAGAATATATCGATTTAGCGCAATACAGCGATTACAACAATTTTTTGAACGTCTACGAAAGTAAATCTGGACCGCACGGTGAAAGTTGTAGCGTTTTGGGAGATTTAGATTTAAAATTCGGCACATTCAACGAAAACATGGTTGATTACACCAATCAAAGTTACGATATAGTTACCAATCAATAACTTCGACGCATTAACTATAAAAAACCAGTTTGTACATACTTATATAGTCTTTAACGATTCGTGGAAGATTTTGACATCCAAAAAAAATGTCAGAAAATACAATTTGCCTGTGAATTAAAAATTAAAATGACAGACACGACTGGTCTCTGTCAGGGATCCTCCCGTTGGACAGACTATATTTTCTATCGCCTGTTTTATAATTTATAGTAAATATTTTGAAAGGTATAATGATCTACTGTACCATCCAATGACTAAAGGATACAAGGACCTGTAACGCTCATGTACGAGCTGCAGCAGAATTTGTGGTGATAGACGCCATTTTTTTGGTTGTAGCGAATGAGTCATCAACGACAATTTTAGCAATTTTTAATAGTTTGCGTGTAGTAAACTTTGTATAAACTTTATCACAATGGTGATTAATTGTTCAGCCTTTCAACTGTAAAAACCACAGTGATAAGAAAGAGCCAGGAGTTACGTTTTATAGGTAAATAAACAGTCCACTCCACCTTTTTAGCGTTTTTTTTTTATTGAATTCGATAATTATTTTTCTGATATTTTATTTACTTGATATGTGCTATACGTCGATACTAGTTCTGTACCTTTTGTTAACATTTTAATACGTTTTTTTTCGTAATTAATTAGTATTATACCACCGCATACACCATAGGCATAGTCAAAACATTTATCAAAAATATAAATATCTCTTCAAGCGACAATGTTAAGAAAAATATGTGTCACGGCACTGTTTGGTGGTATGGTAACAATTTGGTCTCGGGTGTTATTTTTCCTTGTATTCTTTAGTCATTGGTACCATCAAACGACATCACAGTTGGCCTAGAAATACTCTTGACATTGACAATGACAGTTTGTAGCGTGTTGTTATTCAAATTCCTTGTTAAATGTTAAAAATACAACACAGGGTGGTCCAACTGTTCAAAAAACCTTCATACCGGCTTTTATATTTGAGATTTTCAATCCAGTCATGTGTGTGGGCAATAATAGTAAAGTACATTTTAAAAATATTTCAAATGACAGACTACAACTGTCACTGTCATGTGTTCTCTCGCTGGACAGACTTTACTATTAAAAAAATTAAAAAACCACCATTAACTCCTAAAAAAACAATATTTTTTCCAAACAGATTTGCCTGTGAATGACTAGTGTGTGTCTAGATTTCTAAAGCCACTGTGACGCGGTTTTTTTTGCTCGTATGGCATATTTATCTTTGTGTGTAATTTGTCAGTTGAATATTCTGGTAATATCTCACATAGAAGAAAAAAAATATTTTTTTAATATAAATTTAATTAAATTTTAAAATTGCCTTCCAAAAATCATTTATGGTTTAAAAGACTATACATATATAGAGCTCCCAAACTGTTTTAAATTGTTAAAAATAACAACTATTGACAAAAATGATAAAAAATATTCCTAGAAGATTGAGCTGACATGGAAATATAAATGTGCAAAACTTTTTCTAGATGATCACAACAGTTTAACATAGCATGCCAATCAAAATATTTGTCCAATGAAAATCTGAGACATATTTTTCTTCAGAAATGCTTAAATTCCTTTCTAATATAGTGCCTTAAGACAGGTAGTGCTTTAATTCCATCCTGTTTTTGTTTATAGCCTATTTTTGTTGTCTTGTACATATTGTGTCTATGAAATAAAATAGATTTGTGATATTTTTTATTTTGTTTATTTTTCCTAACATTATCATAATAAACTTAAAAAATACATATGTTTTTATGTACAGAACCACTACTATCTAAATTACACAGAGTTAAGTCTTTACCAATGACCCTTTTGTGATAATTCTATCAACTTCATGCTGATTGTTGATCGAAGCCAATCCATCATCTATAGCCCTTCTCTTAGCGATATCGGTTAAAGCTTTAAATGTATACGGCTCCCAAGCAGCTAAGTTAGCTAATGTTTTTCTATCTAATAAAATATCTGAACGATACAACGACTCCCTGAATACATTATAATCGATATCGTGTTCCATACAACCAGCTACTATTCTAGTTTGCCAAAGCTTAAAAATATGAAGATGTTATGTATATTTTTTGGCAAAATTAATATTACTTACATTTCTCATGTCGATTTTCTTCAATATTCTACCTTTGGTAGCGTAACGTAGTGCTCTGTGAACATATCGAATAGCGATACTATAACAATTGCGTTTTCTACCCACAAAATGCTATAAAAAAAGTTGTTGAAACACTGAAAAACAATGTCTTAAAATTTACTTACGGCAGCTAGTTTGAAAATCCTTCTTTTACGCCAAAACTCATCGGGTCCTCGAGATCTTACAAAATTCACTGCTGTAGTAAATACCATTTTAAAGAAAATTAAAGTTTTTCCAAAAAATCGAAAGGAATATAGGTTAGTCACTGCAAGCCAAAAATTCTTCTTTTTTTATATATTTTGGCCACAGCTGCCAAAGTATCATGGCAGTTTGGACATACAGCCAAGGCAAAGAGTATATTAGACTTATCTACTCTTTGGTCAAGTAAAGTAAATTGGACATGTGTCTCATCTAGGCAGGAAAACCATATTCGAAAAAGATGAAGAAGAACAAGTTAACCTCAAAAAATAATTCTTTCAACTAGACAAAAATAAATAAATACTATAAACATGGGAATAAAGGGCTTAACAAAGTTTATAAACGATAGGTCAAAAACGTACTTTGAAAATTTCGATTTGCACGACTGTAATTTAATAATTGACGGGCACAGTATTTCCTGTCAACTGTATAACTGGAAACATTGGCATTTCGATACTAGATCAGCAAATTGTTATGGAGGTGATTACGATAAATACGCCTTTGCAATTGAGGCATTTTTTCGCAATCTCAGTGAAGTAAATGTCACCCCCTACGTAGTATTTGATGGAGGGTTCGAAGAGAAAAAACTTCCCACAATCATGAAACGTATGCAGGACAAGATTAATACAGCTGATAAGTTAAATCCAACTTATGAAAATGAAAATCCACATCACGTAGTATTTCCACTAGCATTAAGAGAAGTTTTTAAGGATGTTGTGAGAGAAAGAGACATTCCACTCGCCATGTGTATATACGAAGGCGATACAGAGATTGCCAGTTTAGCTAAGGAATTAAATTGTCCCGTTTTAACATTTGATTCAGATTATTTTTTATTTGGTTGCAAGTATATACCTTTTAATTCCATAGATAACAAAGTACTTACACGTAATGGGCGCTCAGGGACTTATAAATGTATTCAATGTAAACTATATGAAATTGAAAAATTACTATCAGACTATAGAGGACTTCGAGAAGAGACACTTCATTTACTGCCGGTTTTATTAGGCAACGATTACATAGATGAAAGTGTGTTTATACCATTTTTAAACTCGATACATATAAAGGATATGTCATTTCAAAGAAGAATCCATTCTTTACTCCTATGGCTAAGGTCTGAAACCTTAGAATCTGCAATTCAAAAAATTCTAAGCCATTTTAAAAATCCTGTACAACGAAACTCAGTTTTAGATAACATAGGTAAGATAATTTCAGGATATTATTATACTGACAGTAATCTAAAGAAGTATTTTAACATTGAACCTACTAAAGGAAATAAGAACAACAAACCTTTTAATTTTGCTGCTTTAAAAGACAAAATATTGAAAGACCTTGGGACTGATAGGACACCTGTTGAAGAAAATGAAGCAAATGCAACTGAAAATGGTATTAATACTAATCCTGAAAGAAACCATCATTTATTGTTGGAAAATAAATCACAAAATCCTATTTCCAAAGTATTTACAACAAACTACAGTAAATGTAAATATCCCTCTTCATTTATGGATATATTAACTCAAAACAAGTACTACTGCATACCTCAGGTCGAAGATCATGCTAAGAAACATTCTCACATTCATTCCTTAGAATTGCTGTGTTCCATCCATAAAATTCTGACAAATAGTGCAGCAAGTGAATTCACAGTGGTAGCTAGAGATGTGGGAACATCAGTTAAGTGTTTTGTTCAAGAAAAATATAATTTAGAAGTGCCAAATTTGGATGAATTTGAACAAAAACCGCTGAACGAAAGAAGAAAAGTTTTATACGATATTTTAAAAATTGACAGTAGTATTGAGTTGGTTTTAGATAGAGTTCCTGAGGAATGGCATTTATATTTGATCGCCTTAAAGTATATTTTACCTAAATTAAATTTCTCATATTTGTTTATATTCTCGTTATCTATGTGTTTCATTATATTAAATTATACTGATCGGGCTATAGGTTACTTTAGATCAGTTTCTAGATTTAGAAGTAGATATCCTCAAATTCCCTCTGAAAAAGTTCAGAATATTAAAATAGATAGAGGCTGTTTTAATAATTTTTCTGTTAAGGAACATTTAATATTTATGGATAAACTAATTAAATTTTTTGAATTCAGTCCAGACAGGTCTATTGATGTTGATAAAAATTTGCTGCATTATATGGCGCAGGTTCAAAGTACTTTGTTACACATAAAATACCTTAATTCTACATTGAACTTTCCTTACCCTAACTTATTGATACACAGAATTTTTAACGGTACGTTTATTTACAATTCAACTAAATATTTTCAGAAAATCTATGCAAGCAAAGGAAAAAGTTTTTTGGATGAATTTTTTCAAGAGTGTCCTAACATTCGCGATGGTTTAAAATATGTTTTAAATGTACAAAAGACAATTCTAACAAATAATTGAAGTCAATAATATACAGATTTGTTTAAACTATTATTTAGATAAAGATTTTGGAAATAAAGCGATCAGATTTATTTTTCCAAGGCTCCTTGATTAAAAATTAGTGTTTTTAACAGCCATGGTTCTCTAGATTGAAATTTAAAATGCAGTTTTTTAAGCAAAAATGTCAAAAAAGTTGACATATGATATGTCATTCTATTCAGAGTGTCATTTTCTATAGAATAAAGTAAAAATATACTGAGGGTGCAATTTAAAAATCAAAAACTGTAGTCATTAAAACAGGAAGTGACCAAAAATAATCCTAATTTGTGGTACATATGGGTAAGGTTTATATGACATTTGTATAGGCATAAGTACATAAGATTATTATTATTATAAATATTTTATATAAGATTTTATAAATAAAACATCAGAAATTATTAATATTTACCTTTATTTTTATGCTTTAAGTAGTTCTTATGTTAACAAAGTTGAATAAAATCAGTCAATACCAAACAACATTAAAAATTGCTGAGTAAAAAGATATTATAAGAGCACTTTTCTGTTCTATCAAACTTTGTTATTACAATTATTAAAGTACTTAATATTACAAAATGATCGAAGAAAAAACGGCGTCAGCGATGGCTATGAAATAAAAATCGCTGTCATTTAATTCCCAGCCAACTAGACGCCGTTTTTATTCGATCATACGGTATTTCTAAAAGGTTTCTGTGATATATCTAGTCACTTATGGTGTACTGTATATTAAATATATATCTTTAATATTAAATTGTTAACAAAATAGTGCATTAAAGTGATACAAATCTGCATAAAGTATTTTTATAAAAGTTTGTATAAAGTCGCGTATAGTTCTGCAACCAAAAATACATCAGATATTTATAAATATCCGTTCCTAAATACCGTATAATCGAAAAAAAACGGCGTCACAGTGGTATTTGAAATAACAATTTATGATAATTTCTGTCTAGACATGACATTTATTCAAAAGTTTATTAAAATAGATTAGTGTCACTTGCATAGGTCACTTGCCATTTCTAAGGTTACTGTGGCGCTGTTTTTTTTTTCGATTATACGGTGTATTATTTGAAATGTGTCTGTATGTACAAAATAACGTTATAATATAAATATATTCATCAACATTCAGATCGTTGTAAGTTTTTATGGACCCATAACAAGAAAACAAGTAATATTGTTATAAATTACAATAAAAAATAGCTATATCTAAAATAATATACAATAGTTATGCAATGTACAATATCAGTTAATAAGTATACACAGGGTGATTCGTGAAGAAATACTTACGCGAAAAAGTTCAGAATATTACTGAAGAATATGACAAAGCACTGACACTTCCTCATGAATCACCCTGTATACAACAATCAATGCCTTTAAAAAACATTCCAAAATATAGGCACTCGTTGTAAAATGTGTCCTTGGTTAGCCAGTCATGAAATATATTATTGCTAAGCATTAAATATTTAAGAATAATATAAAGAAATAAAAAAAGCTATGAAGATTGATATGTTATACAATAACAGGAAAAGCAAAGTTAAATAATAAATTAATATATTGAAAACCAAACGTAACAAAGTTTAAAAAAATAACAGTAAAAAAAGTGTGCCACCTTAAAGAATAAACCGGTAAATAATCAAAATGTACAAAGTTTATACGAAATAAAGTTAATGAGATTTTTACATTTTTTTAATGACAATTTTCTGTCATTTATGGGTTTCACCATCATTAAAGACTAATAAAATGAATTAAACATATATTAAGTCTAGTTAAAGAAATATATACAGGGTGTTTACTACGTAAAGTAAAATATTTAAGAGGAAGAAGTTGTAGTACATTATCTGTCATCATTAATTCAGGACTCAAGAAAAAAATACATGAGTAACTAGTGGTATAGTCTGTAAAACGAATAACTTTGAATTTGACAGTTCCCGCGGGCTTTTCTAGTGTAAATTTTATTAGGTTAGCAACTTGCGGCCATGCTGATGCAATGCCGTCTCTAATAGAACAGCCTCCGAGCGAGATTTATTACGTCACGCTAGTTAGATACTACGGATTAATTATGTTGTAGAATACATGGAAAACATAATTGTTCCTCGTATATGTAATTTTTTGGATTATATTCGACACTATTTTTTTCATATGACACAACACTGATGAAGGCTATAAACGTTAGCTATAACGTTTTTTTAAACCAACAAAAATAATGAAAAGCCAAATAAAAACTTAATCAGCGTTTTTCCCGAACCTAAATTTCAAGAAAATCAAAAATTTTAGAATAATTTTACAAATAAAATGACAGCGATCTTTATTTCATAGCCATCGCTGACGCCTTTTTTTCTATGATATTGTATTATTTGCAAATATAATTTTTCGAACATTGATGCTTGCAAAATATACATATAAATTTTGTGAATGGAAATAATAATATATCACTATTAGTAGATATTGAATGTTTTTTGTTAAATTAGATCGATTTTCAAACCCCAAAATTTAAAATATATTTTACATTTTTACCCATTATCTTATGTACCTATTCATTATTTGTATATTGTAAAACATTTATTAACTGTATATTATGTATATTTCATGTAAACTATATCATTCTTAAAATACAAACCAAAAATACGAGGAATAATTATGTTTTCCATGTATTCTACAACATATTTATTAATCCGCGGTATCTAACTAGCGTGACGTCATAAATCTCGCTCCGTGGCTGTTCTATTAGAGACGGCATTGGTCTGATATTTAGAAATGTCAAAGGCTGATGACATTTTACTTTTGTCAGTTATGACATTTCGCGTTGATTTTTGCAAGAAGAGAAAGAACTGTCACTTGTTTTATTATTTTCCTTTTCTATTTCACGAAAGTAAAAAGAGTTACCTATCTGATTCGTTCAGGCACTCATTTTAAAGAATATCAGTAACTTTTTGGACAGAGAGATTTTATATTTGCCACGTTGGTAAAAAATAACGGTCAAAATTCGAAGTTATTCATTTTATAGACTATATAAATCTTATTTTCCAAAAACCATGACAGTGGCGGACCTAGAAGGTATTTTTAAATATTATATTTGAGTAAAATGTATAATTATGGCACGTTTATTTGTACCAAATTTGAACTCCTGGTACCTGGTAAGTTCTTTCTAATAAACATAATTTTTCACACCTTTTTCTATAAATAGCCTTCTATAATGTTTACCTTAGTTAACAAAATACCCTGTATATATTAAAAAGAAGAAATGATTTGGTCTTAAGAGAAATTTTAAACGATAAATGCAGAATACAAACAAGTTGTGGTAACAAATGAACACATTGCTCTCGAATACGTTTTTTAAAGCTTACACGCTACATTATTTACCAAAATGAGTAATACGTTTTCCTTCAGTATTTTTTTCCAGAAAAAAACTCATCCAAAACATTGCTTTATGGATACGCTGATGGACTGGATACCGTTGTAGTTGTTTGTCTGTTCATTACTCTTTCCCCTTGAGCTAGTTGTCCAGACTGGAGAGCTTTGTATTTTAGAAAGCCATCCAAACCGTAAAGGGCCATTCCACAGAAACCGAAAAACTAAATAAATAAAACAAAACTTAGAATTTTCTATTGATATTTGTATGCAACCAGCATTACGCTCCTTAATGAGGCTCCCTCTTTATTTTACATCTATATATTTGATTTTTTTAATCTGTTAGCCCCTTTGGTTAGCCCAAAAAAATAATTTACATAGGTTAGTCTCTTTATAAATATATACCGGATGCGTCTCAAAAGTGGCTCGCTCCTATAACTTTTTTATTTTTTCAGATAAAAAAACGAGATTTGGTATATGACAAAAATTAGGATTGATTGACGTATTCAATTGTTTTTGGTCACTTCCTGTTTCGCCGGAAATGACTACAACTTTTGATTTTTAAATGGCACCCTCGGTATTTTTTCACTTTATTCGATAGAAAATGAGGGTGCAGCCACACTATCCTAAAAACGGCGTATCGGCGTAACGGCGTAATGACCTTGAATAGATTTCCAGTAATTCTATTGGCTGAAACATTCATCTGTCAGAAATTTTATCTGTCAAATTCATCTGTCAAAAATTTCAGCCAATAGAATTACTGGAAATCGATTCAAGGTCATTACGCCGTTACGCCGATACGCCGTTTTTAGGATAGTGTGGCTGCACCCTGATGACACTCTGAATAGAGTGACATATCATAATATGTCAACTTTTGACATTTTCGCTTGAAAAAAAATCGTATTTTAAATTTCAATCTAGAGTGCCATGGCTGTGTTAAAATCTATGAATATACCAAATCTCATTTTTTTTATCTATAAAAATAAAAAAATTATAAGGGGAAACCAGGGTAGGCCACATTTGAGACGCACCCGATATAAATAATAATTATTTCTACTAGTTTAATAAATAAGTTTTATAACAGTTATACTAATAAGAATTGGGGCTTTTATCTGCTAAACATTATTCAAATGCTGTAAAAATAGTACAGAAAAACCACATTTCTTCAAGGTTATTTTTATATTAATTTAAAAAATAGAGCTAAGGAATTATTTTTTAAGATAGAAAAAGTCTATAAATAAATATATCAATATTTAAAATGTAGAGAGTAAGATCAGAGATATAGTAAAAAATGGGCTTCTACAGGGCGATTAGGAGATCATTATTATATTAGAGCTATAAATGATTCTTTTAAAAATTGATGCCATATTAAAAATATATATTGGGATACTGCTTCACTACTATCCAAACGTTTATTAACTTACCCCTGCAGCTATATACGCCTCCACATGAAACGAAACAGCCAAACTGGCAGCTATAAGATACAAAACTGTCCAAGTAATACAATATCCAAGCTCAAACTTTAACCATGGCACTTTATAGAACTTTTCGATCACATGGAACAAATAGAAAGCCAGGAGAATACCTGTGACCCAAAAGGCAGTCATAGAAACAAAATTGAACCACTGACCACGTGAGTGAAATGACCATTGTCCGCTAGCTTCGATGCATATGAATCCGATCAAGTTAATAACCTGAAAAAAATGAATATGTTGAATAACTTTTGTTGATACAACAAAATAAGTGTGATAGTTACGATTTCTGCAATTTTTATGTACCCTGGAAGTGTTCTAGCATAGGAAGAATCAAACCTCAGGGTCGTATCCACTGTCGTACTTGAGGATTTCACAGTAGTTGTGGTAGTGTGCTGGCCTGGAAACCCTGGATCAGCCATCTTCTAAAACTAAAAAATAATAATAAATAATCGAAATAAATTTAAAATTCTATACAAAAATCTGAATTTTTACATACCTAACTTTAAAAAAAACAATTTTTATCAGTCTTATTGTGACCTGTATATTCCAAACATGTTTTTAAAAAGATTACTTTAGTATTTAGATTATGAATAATTAATATTACGTTATACTATCAGTTCTAAGTAAATTTACACTTTGATGAACGTTTTTAATTTATTAAGTGTTAATTTTTTAAAATGTATCCTCTGTCTATTAAATACAAGGACTAACAATAGATGATGTATTAAATGATGCAAACAAGAATTACTAGATTTTCCAAAAACGGCAATGACATCATTTGAGGCGAACGATTAGCCCGAAATAAAAATGCATAAAATCTAAAATAGACCAAGTAAACTAATAAATGACTAAGGCACTAGGATATTTACTTTTGAGTATATAAAATAAAAAAAAATAGATACTATTATTTTTCCTTTAGGTTAATTCAAACAGTTTGTATTTTTAAAACTTAATTAATCACAAATTCCCACGTTTAAACAAGATTCAATTCGATAACAGGTTGAAGGCATGGAAATCGTGAAAATTACACAACAGGTATTAAATTTCCTGATACCACCGATTTTCCTTAAAGCGTTAATCAATTTCTACGTTGTATTTGGGTCAAATTATTGAAAAGATAGATTTAAATATATATTTCTAAAAAATACTACTTACCGTAAGGTACCTACACCTAACAATTTACTGGAAAAAACGGAAAAGAATTTCCTCAACAGAGAATTTTTACGATGTCAACACTTTTGGAGGCGTCCTCGGCAAAAAAAGCAAAAACGCTCGATACAAAACAAACCACTATCAGTTGACAGGTACGTTCAGAATAATTAAATGGGATTTACTGTTATTTTATGAAGCGTTCAGTATGCAGTTTATAATTAATCACTCCCTGCTTGTTCCTAAAAATAGTTATTCAAACATGTTTTCACCTTTTAATACAAATTTATTGGAAAATTATTTTAAAATAAAAAAAAACAATATAGGCAACCAATTAAACATTCAATATTTAAACTTCGTTAGCGCTAAACTATTTTTTTATGGTATATTCGCTCCCCATGCACGATCAATAAAATGTAATCATTAAATAATTAAAATGTTTATTTATCATTAACAACTATGAATTATTTAACAATGAATATAAATTATTAGGATCGATAAAACCTTCATCGCTTTCTTCGTTTTCTTCTATACACGCCGTCTCTTCACCAATATGTTTCACTTGTTTTTTTCTTTTCTTTCTTTTTAGTTTTTGAATAACTTCTAAGTTTGACGAAGTAAAGAGATATTCTATACGATTAAGAATGAATTTTATCTTGTTTAGTATACCAGGACAGTCGTTTAAAAATTGTTCCAAGTAATTTTCAATATTAGTGCGCTTCCTGAGATTATTTGTCATATTGTACACAAAGGTCCCGTCGAAAATCTTGTGAATTTTTAAATTCTCAAAAGGTAAATTTAACAATGAATTCAAGTACTTTACGTGAAGAAATATACTTTGTAACTGGGACATTGAATGCACTAACGTCTTGTCATAGAGTCGGTAATTCGTTTTTAGTTTTAAATCCATTTGAAAATACGAAATCACTTTGTTCATGAAAAACATACAATCTTTCAGTGAAATATCCTGTAAACTTGTATCATCGTTTTTAATAATTTCATTCTTATTAATATTGCTATTCTTATAATTATTGAACTTCTTTTCAAAAGTTTTAGTGGATCTAGAAAAACCTAAAACGGTATCAATATAATTTAAAACATAAAAGCATAAAATAAGAGAAATTATTAAAGCTTTATCGAAAGAACCCTTTTGAAGGGCATATTGAAGAGATACCAAGAATAAATGCCATTCGGTAGGTAATTTATCTAAATTAAGTGGATCAATTTTAAGGACCTCAAATAATATTTGTTTTCTTTCACTTAAGTTTCTAACTTGAATATCCTCAAACGTATATAAATTTTCACTACTCTGAGGCAATTTAGAGTACCGAATACCAGTTCTGCCACATCTAGAAACCACTATCAAACTTTTAAAATGCGTTGGAGTTAAGACTTGGTAAATAAACGATAAAATATCGAGACTAAACACGTGAGAATGTTCACTTTTTGCATCCTCAACTTGAGGTATACAATAATACTTGTTCTGTACTATCATGTCCATGAAAGATGATGGATACTGGCACTTTTGGAAGTTTTGAAGAAATATATTATATATTAAGTCTTCTTTATTTTTATTTTCAATATCTTCTGTCTCAGATTGTCTTTCTTCACAATCTTCACTGTCCTCACCTGCATTATCACTTACACTTTCATCTTTATCTTCAATGTTTTCTGTCTCAGATTCTCTATCTTCAGTATCTTCAACTGCATCATCACTTTCATCTTCATCTTTAGGGTTAAAATAGTAATTTTCTAACTTTCTTTCTATTTCAGTAAATTCCAACTGTAAAGAGTCTTTTTCAATCTCTACCTTAATTCCCAAGTACTCCAATAATTCACTATTAACTTCATAATAACCTTTCATGGCCTCCTTTATTTTTTTCAAAATATATTGTCTCTTACAACTTTTGAATCTGCTTAAGACAGTTTTGATGGCTGTCTCTACTGTTTCATTTTGTAACCAATATATCAAACTTTTGATACGTTTCTGTTGATCGCTTTGATTCGCTGTACATTTCTGTATTTTCAAATTTCTAAGAAATGGGTTAAAAAGAGTCCCTTTTACATAATCGTTACCTAAAATCACAGCTAAGAGTGGTAAGTTAGATCTGTCTAGACCACCGTAACTCTTTAGAAAAGATTCTATATTGTATATCTTGCAGGGGATATATAAAAATGATTTTTTGTTGGTTAAGTCATTTCCCTTTTTTGCAACCAGTTCTACAGTAGAAAAAGGAATGTATAGGCATCCGAAAATATAAAAATCTGAGTCGTAACTTAGTACAGGACAATCCAAAACTTTTGCAATTTTAGAGATTTCCATATCACCCTCGAATTCACACCTGGCAGTTTTGATGCCTAATTCCAAAACAACATCTAAAAACACTTCTCTTAAGAATAAAGGAAATACTGACTCAGATCCTTCTGTGGCTGAACTTAAATGGTTTGCTGCCATAATCTTGTTCTTCATTCTGCTGATTACGGTGGCTAGTTTACGTTTTTCATAACCACCATCAAAGATCACATACGGAGTAATATTGCACTGACGAAGTAGATCGAAAAAACTGTATATTACGTTGGCAAATTTATCGTAGTCTCCACCGAAGCAATCGTTGCATTTACAATGCCATTTGTACAAGTTGGAAGCTATACTGTTGCCATCCAATACCACTTTGCAGTCGTGTAACTTATATTCTTTTAGATATAAATGGGATCGGTTGTTAATAAAAGTAGTCAATCCTCGTACCCCCATAATTGTTACAGTCGAAGCGCCACTTCTAGATTTAAATCATTGTTTAAATTAAAAATATTATGATTTTCAACAAAAAAACTTTCTTTAAGGTTAAAAAAAATCTCGTACCTTGTATTACAGGTTGCATAAACAAACAGTGCTATTATGTTTAACTGGTTGTATAACTTGCATTTAGGACAAATGAACTACTTTTGACATTCCATCTGATTTTGACATTTCTTTTTAGGTGAAATTTGTTTACAAACGAATTTTAAGCAGTTCTTGTTATAAAATGTAAATTAAACGATTAAAATTGTTATTTATTAAAAAGTTTTTGAAGTAGTTTCCAAAATATATTAAAAAATGGCAGCCCCAACAAGAATATGTATAGAACATTTCGGAGGATCATTTTTCGTATTTACTTTAATGGGCTATTTAAATTATTCCTATAATTTAACCACTCTTGGATTTAATATTTTTATATTCTTCATTTCCGGCCTAATGATATTCAGTTTCATGAAAATTATTTTCACTGGTGATGTTTATAAGGTGAGCATACAGTAATATATCATAACAGTATATTTTTTGCTAAACTTTGATTTAATTTATCAAATCCTATACCATAGAATTTTCAGATCGCATGGCGGGCTGCCCTTCTCGGTGGTCTTTTCTCTCTGGGCTTCTACATTTACCTTGTTTGTCCGAATAACATAAAGATTTTTGGTCTTTATATGTCGGTCATGTCGTTCTTTCATGCATCAGAATTCATGGCTATTGCCATAGTTCAGCCGAATCTAGTCTCTACCGATTCCTTTGTGCTAAACCACAGCCCCGAATATACCATAGCAGCAGTCATTTCTTGGGCAGAATTCTTTATTGAAGCTTACTTTTTCCCTAGTAAGAAAAATAATGTTTTTCCTTGCCTTACCTAATAATAATCTGTTTTAGATATAAAGCAACTTTATTTTATTACGTACTTTGGTCTAGTTGTTTGTATTTTTGGAGAAGTTTTAAGGAAACTAGCTATGTTTACTGCTGGCAGCAACTTTAGTCATTTGGTAAATTTCTCATGCGAAATGCCAGTTCATATTTAGAGGGTTAACGTTATTTCTAGGTTCAATATGAGAAAGCAGAAGATCATGAACTGGTTACCACAGGAGTATATGGTTGGTTTCGTCATCCCAGTTATGTTGGATGGTTTTATTGGGCTGTTGGGACACAGGCAAGTATACAGGAACTTGCTAATAACTTCATTTAATTAGAATTTGTTTGTCTAATAACAATAGACAAAGTAATAAAGTAGATAAGTGAAGTGAAAAATCTGTGACAAAATTACAAATTTTATTTGACAGTTGTCAAAAGTCAAACTAAAAAAAGATTACGTGGCAACATTGCGACGTGCATTTGTCAAGTATTTTGATGACATGCTTGCCAACTTTTATTGATTTCCTATACCTATATCCTAGATTTTCAATATTAATAATTATCTTTTTACAGATACTTCTTATAAATCCCATATGTATCCCAGCATATGCTCTGGTCTCTTGGATGTTCTTTAATAAACGAATTTATATAGAAGAAATCACCCTCCTAAACTTTTTCGGTCAGAACTACGTGAACTACCAACACAAAGTTGGTATAGGTCTACCATTTATCAAAGGATACCAAATATAAACCAAATTCAAATTCTTGGACAATGTTAGCTAGCTAAAATATATGACCAATCAACTAAAAATAACTAAAAAAATAATGTTTAATAAATGTTCTAAAAACGAATTTCCAAATTACTAAAATATCTTGTTAATTATGTTTTGTTAAATATTATTAATGTTACTTATGTAGTTAACGTTTGGTTGTAAATACTGACTGATTTAATATAAGTATAAATAATTTTTATTTATGTTTAAAAATTACCAATTAAATTTTGTCTAGCAGTGCTCAAAAAAAGTATTTTTATATTTAAGATCTCTAAATTATTATACCCTTAATGTAACTAAATACTACTTGATGTTGTAAAATAAATATTATGACAATTAAATATTGGGTTATTTTTAATTAAATGATACATAAATGAGTCCAAAATAAACATATATTTTATTACCAATTATAATGCCGATAAATTTATAGTTTACATAATTTTTTTACAAAAAAAAACACTAAAATAAATCTCTTAAATGCCAATGACAATAAATATATTATTATTAGTAAAAAAATGAAAATAAAAATGTGATTCAACTCTTAACCAAAACTTAATAAAAATTGTTAGAATTTTATAAAATTTATGGTTTAATATATTTAGAAAAAATCGTCAAAAATATTGAAATTATTTTATTTTTTACTACCATAAGATATATAACATTTGTTTGATTTTTGTGCCAAACGTTAATTGACCAATTGATATGCAATAGTTTACACTTATTAATTATTATACAGAAATATTTAGTTGATTTATTCTCTTATTTGATTAATGCTATTATAAAAAAATTACTCGTAAAAAACGATGTTAAAACATCTTTGGATAAAGCCATATCATATGAAACTGCTCTAAAATGTTTTTGTATTATCTTATATTTAAATAAAAATAAATATTTAGTTAAAAGCATTATTATAGGCTTAAAAATAATTAAATTAATATCATATGTCGTTTTTTTCTGAGTAGTAATTGATGAAATAGAAAAAAAAATATTCGAGGTATTGGCATATTCTAGTCGTACTAGTATAGCAATACATACAATCAGTTCATTTCTACGCCACTGTTAGTACCTATTTAATTATTATAGTGGCCGAGGATGAATCCATATTGAAAATTTATCATAAAAAGTGCTACTGTTGTTACTGACGGAAAAAAAGGTGTCACGATAGCCTTTAAAATAAAAATCGCACCAAGTACTTATGCATGTGGTTACCGTCTCAAACATTTAGACCTATTCAAAATCTACAAATTATGCCCATATGGACTCACCCTAATATAGTTTTTTTTTAAATAAATTATTCGATATTACACTTGGGCTACTTCTCCGTCCATTTGCAAAATCCACTGGGCTGCTTTGGTCACGTCCCACATGGAATTCTCCAAAGCGTTTTGGCAAGAGGTCAGATCCGCACTGACCACGTTTTGAAGTTTCAGAAGTTTGATGGCTTTCATCACGTCCCAATCCGAATGGTCCAGAGCTTGCAGACATTTTTCGGTAGGTATCTAAAGAAATATTTCGGTTAAGTTAACCAGATAAATATCTAAAATAGGGAAAGGAATATTTCATATAGGCGAAGAAATATTTCATTTATTTTTTAAAGTAAATGCCAGTAAAAGTAAATATTATTTTTAAATAGTAATATAAAGTAATATAAATAAGTTTGATTTCTAATTTTTTATTTATATTTTCCTTCCATTACACTGCATGCTTACAAAATTAATAAATGTTTATATTTCATGATTTTAAAATTTGTTGTTAATATAAAAAATTAGTTCTGTAATTATTATTGTTTAATAAACCAACGTTGCCAAAAAACTTAGGGACTATATTATTTTTAAATAGGATCTAATATAAATAATTTTGACTTCTAATTTGTTGTTTATATTTTGATACTACTTAAAAAATAAATAAATGTTTATATTTCACGATTTTAAATTTTGTTGTTAATAGGTATAACAAATTATTACTGTTATAACTATTTATTAAACCGGTCTTTGCTTAAAAACATTAAAAATCATTTTCCTACATTCAAAATAAAAAGTATTATTGCAGTGTAACAACAGAATATTAATAAAAAAATGCAAAATATATAGACATACTATCCCAAACTAACTAATACCACAGAATAATATTCTTTGCTAATACCAACTAATACCAATATAGGTATGGCAACAGCGCCCTTCATAATGTATCTTTTGTTAGGTTAGGTTAGATTTAAATACTAGCACCTCAATAAAAAAAATAATGTGTCCTTATCTGACTCCACAAAAAATCAAAGATGCCGGCTTCTTTCACACCATTGCCACCATAAAATCCAGATTATATTTTATTATAATCGATCCTGACAAATAAATGAATTTTATAAATGAATGGTTTTTGCTGCCGAATTACTAGAATACAATATTTCAAGGCAGATGACGCGTCTATTCGAGAATTTTTATTCGAATAGTTTTCGACGAATGTTTTCTTACTAGCTATCGAATTATTCGAATGAATTGCAACTATCGAATATTTCGATAGTTCCCACTACTACTTGTTAATACTTACTTCTTTTCCCAAAACTTTTGACATAATCCTAACTTCGTCCGAGTCGTTTCCTCTGGTCCTTGAGCTGGGTTTCGTATTGGCAAATTTCAGCAAATCTTCGCAACTTACATGATGACTATGTACCTATAAATTCAGATTTATTCTGACAATAATTTATTTTGTATCTTGTAATTTTTAACAACATTCGAGAATTCGAGATAAAAAAGAAAAAAAAATGCTTCAAGGCATACCTTCTCCCCATCATTCTTGAAGTCCCCACCGTCGACTACGTCATGATCAGAATGAATGTCATCTAAGGCGTTTAGGTTTGATTCAATCTGCTCTTCGAAATGTACAGATTCGGGATTTTTCTCGGCTATCTGCATTACGTCATTGGAATAGGCAGGCTCAACAGGGCTGGGAAAAGGATCTGGAGACGTCTTGTTTAACGGAGACACTGTATTAACCTAAAAAAAGAGAAAAAAAAATCAGACAAATAGTACAAACAAACTTTACTGTATAAAACGAGTCCTATAAAAATAATTTAGAAGTATTTTTAATTAGGAATGGGTTCTGATTAGGAATACTTAGTGATTAATTAATTAAAGGAATACTTTTTAATTAGGATTTTTTTTTGAGTGCATATCTAAAGTATGTATTAGGGCCTATTTCAAGAAAATATTTTACTTCTACAGGATGGCTAAAAAGTGTGAGTGGATCGGGATAATTTTTACCGAAAACGAAACACCCTGTAACTCAAAATTCCAAAAAAAAACGAAGAAAAATTATTTTATATTTTAGAGAGTTTGAAATTTTGAACACCCTGTATAATTTAAGATTACGATATTTATTGCAAAGTAAGTACACACCAATTACAGTAAATACCTAGTATTGTTTTAATTTTAGGATATTTCTTGTATTTTTAATAATTCTTTTTAAATAAAGGTTGAAAAATATATCTTTTTTTATGAATATCTCTGAAACTATTAAAACAAATTTAATAATATCTTAAGATTATATAAAGCCAGCTGCAAAAAAATGCATTAATATACAGGGTGTTCCATTTAAAAGAACCTCCCGATTCGCTCAAACCTTTTTGAACCACCCTGCGGAAGTTACAAAAATATTTTCCTAAAAAAATTCTAGTGCATACTTTAGGTCTACAAAATTCCTAAGTTTTTTATTATAGTAGCTACAGACGCCCAACACACTTTTGCTGGACCCTTTATAATAATATTAGTATTTTTTTTAATGTATTTACCTTATCCAACGTCCTTTGTGCACTAGTAGGCGGTATAATCAACGGATGTTTCCTCGTATGTCTCGGTTTAGCTGTCAAAAGTGTCTTATTCCTATCTCTAGGAGGTAAAGGTATAGGATTCTCCTCTTTAGAAGCGTCATTTTGGAGTCTAGGATGCACCGATGACGTTCTGTGAGCTGTGTGAGTATTAATATTCTTCGGCAGTGTTGAGAAAGAACCTAAAAGAAATGTTCAAATATAAATTCATGTAAAATTGCTTTAAAAAAATGCAATACCTGGTCTGTCATGTAAATTATCTGGAATAGAACTCCTAGCTATCCCGTTTAACTTTGATGGCAATGTACTAGTTGCCAGGCTTGCAGATCTTGTGCGAGTCGTTATAACAGGCTGTCCAGTTCTTAGCATTCTTAATGGATTTGTGACCATCAGCTAAGAAAATAGCCATTGGAATTTTGTATAGTTAACAGTAAAAAAATAAGGTCCAGCGAGAGAAGGAACTATAGATCTTATACAGGGGTGACGCACCTGATTCGCCTCGGTTAATTATACGAAAACAGAAAGATGTAGAAACAAAATATTTTATGGGTATATGTATTAAAATTATTTCGAAATATACATCATCATCATCATCATCATCACGTAGCCCCCTTTCACGTCCATAGTTGAACATAGGCCTCCTCCAAACGTCTCCAGTTCTCGCGGTTTTTAGCTGTTGCAATCCAGTTAGTTGTTATTCGTTTCAGATCGTCGGTCCATCGGGTGGGAGGTCTGCCTTGGCTACGCTTGTCCACTCTATAAGCCTTTTGGTCCATCTCCCGTCTGCCATTCTAGCAATGTGTCCAGCCCATCTCCACTTTTGTTTTGTGATTCGCTGGATAATGTCATCCACTCCCGTACGTCGGCGTATCTCTTCATTTCTTACTCGATCCCTCAAAGTCAGGCCAATCATAGATCTCTCCATCCGCCTCTGTGTCACCCTCAATTTTTCTGCGGTTACTTTTGTTAGAGTGAGTGTCTCTGCGCCATAGGTCAAAACCGGGAGGATACATTGGTTAAATGCCTTTCTTTTCAGGTGTATTGGGATATTTGCTCTAAAGATGTCCCTCATTTTTCCGTAAGCCGCCCATCCCAAGGTAATTCGTCTAGCCAGTTCACAGGTTTGGTTATCTCTGCTTATTTTGGTCTCATGGCCCAAGTATACATATTTGTGGACTAATTCTATTCTGTTGTTGTGAATTTGTATGTGTTCGCTGGGCACTTACTCTTGTCAAAAATTATTGTTAGTCCAATCTCGTGTAATGCATCGTTAAGTTCTTGAAGCATGTTTTTGATCTCTCCCAGATTATCTGGCACTATAACGATATCATCCGCAAAGCGTAGGTGGTTGAGTCTCTCTCCATCGATAACTATTCCTTTTTGTTGCCAACAAAGCATTTTGAATGCATGCTCAAGAACAGTAATAAACAATTTTGGCGACATGGTATCGCCCTGCCTAACTCCCTTTTATTTTATATCCGGTTAGTTGTGGAATGTAGATTTACAGTTGTTGTAGCATTGTCATATATGTTTTTATTATGTTACAAACGCTTTTTAAAATCGAAAAATATCAGTGCTATGGGGATTGTATTCGAAACGCCCTATATTTTTAAACACAAGATGATTTTTTTTTTTTCTAAATTATTTTTAAACACTACACCTTTCCGTTTTCGTATAATCCACCGAGGCGAATGAGGTGCGCCACCCTGTATATGGATTTACCTGGCTGGCTTCTGGAGTTGGACTTTCCACTAAACCCTGGTAGGCCATCTGTTCCTCTTGGGTGATCTTGGACTAAAGAAGGGAAAAACGAACGTAAAACAAAGAAAAAAGGGACAGAATAAATAAATGAAAGTGGTCTAGATTGACATGGACACAAGATGTCTGTAGTGAAATAAAAAAGAAACATATACATATAAGAAATAAATAAAAAAACAGTAGGATAAAAAATAATGGGTTAAAAATAAATGAAACAAGTATTTTTTTGAAAAAAAAAATCATTTATATTACAGTTATGGTTCCTTACAATTTAATATCTTTAGAAAGGGATGGAATAATATTTATGCTAAATGTTATGTTATCCACGAGTATAAAAGGCATATAGGGATTAAAAAGAACCATTTTTTTAAATTTTCTCAGTCAGTTAAAAATATAAAGCCTGATATAACTGAGAAAATATTTAAAAAATGATTCCTATAAACACACTAATATAATGTATGATGTAGAAATATATACTTAGGTTTATACGCCAGTAACACTATTTTAAACACCAAAAGGCAAATGAATAGATGTTTGAATATTAGAACGTTTATATAGTTTAGTTTGTATACACGGTGTAAATAAATAAACGCAAAAAATAGTAAAATAAAGTTTTTTGTATAATTTTGTTGAATTTTGCGCTTACTACAAAGTTATTTTTAAAAACAAAATCTCATTTATTTATTTACACTCTGTATATTCATAAGAACAAGAGAAGCATAGAGTATTTTTTTTATTTTTAATAGTATATTATATATTGTAATAAAGATTAGAATACCTACTTATGAGATTTAGTAGCATAATTGTTGTAATTTCTACAGCGAAAATTTTTTTTCTTCAAAAGAAAAGTTTCCTTAATTAAATTGGGACTCACAATGCTGGTGGTACTATTTGAGTCATTCGGTCTAAAGTAGAGACGTGTAGATATATCGACAAATCAAAGTATCGATACTGTTTAAAATATATCGATTATTTTTAGTCAACAAATTATCGATTTAAAAAAAACATTCTCATAGATATTTTTTTAAAATAAAATGACTCTCTTTTAATTTAATAACAATGCAACTTCCACAATCATAATTATTTGTATAACCTAATCACGCGTTTTTTTTCTTTCCCAAATTACATTCAGTGTCAGAAACTTATAATAACTGGCATAATAATTTCATAATAACTTTGAGAGGTTAGAAAGTTGTATTCGCAAGACGTCAAAATTCAGAAAACGCTGTCGCAACATGGTATAACCTAAAAATTAGATGTTATCTGTAAGTAAACGCTTTCAGGAATCTCTATATTCGATTACAGAATGTTTGTAAGTTAAAAAACGTAGGATATGAAAAACTGAGGTCATTTGAATCCAAACTATCACTTTTTTGTACCAAAAAAACTTCTTAATTATATACTGGAATCACTGGTGGTACTATCAGACAATTTCTTACACCTCGACACAGAAGTGGGACTCAACCCACTCAAAATACTACTCGAAGGTGGCGGAGACCTTCCCATAAACTTCAAACTGAACTGAGGCTTCAAAAAGGGATTGGTCGACTTATTAACCATCTCCGACCTTATACTAGCGTTCGAACCCGAAAATTTCGACAATCTTTTACGCCTGCGCCAATCAAAATCCACCGAACCCACAGAGATACAATCCGATTCGCTAGAACTAGACTCGTACGCTTGGGGATTATAAGACTGTCGACGCCTGTTGCGTTCCCTGATACTGCGACTCGTTTTTCTCGGAACGTCCTGCTGAACGTCACTGAATGACAGTATCCGGGGTCGTTCAAAAAAATGGATTTCGTCAGGGTTTAAAGAACGGTCTTTGTAGTAAATGTAGGAAGTCTCGAAGTATTGTGAAGAGGCGTTCACGTGAAACGGTCTGTGATGATATGTGTTTGAATCTCTGAAGCTCTGGGATTCTCCGGTATTTAATAATGTTATCATTTAAAAGTTCATACTATTTTTCAGAGAGCTATAAATTTTATTCATCAGACGACAAAATGTTCAAGAAGCAAATGTCATCTTTGTGTCTTCAAGATTCTCTATATTCGATTACAGAATGTTTGGTAGATAAAAAACGTAGGATATCAACAACTGAAATCATTTGAATCCAAACTATCACTTTTTTGTACCAAAAAAACTTCTTAATTATATACTGGAATCACTGGTGGTACTATCAGACAATTTCTTACACCTTGACACAGAAGTGGGACTCAACCCACTCAAAATACTATTCGAAGGTGGCGGAGACCTTCCCATGAACTTCAAACTGAACTGAGGCTTCAAAAAGGATTGGTCGACTTATTAACCATCTCCGACCTTATACTAGCGTTCGAACCCGAAAATTTCGACAATCTTTACGCCTGCGCCAATAAAATCCACCGAACCCACAGAGATACAATCCGATTCGCTAGAACTAGACTCGTACGCTTGGGGATTATAAGACTGTCGACGCCTGTTGCGTTCCCTGATACTGCGACTCGTTTTTCTCGGAACGTCCTGCTGAACGTCACTGAATGACAGTATCCTAGGGCGTTCGAAAAAATGGATTTCGTCAGGGTTTAAAGAACGGTCCTGTAAGGTACGGTCTTTATAGTAAACGTAGGAAGTCTCGAAGTATTGTGAAGAGGCGTTCACGTGAAACGGTCTGTGATGATATGTGTTTGAAGCTCTGGGATTCTGTGATTATTTAATAATGTTATAATTTAAAAAGTTCATACTATTTTTCTAGAGAGCTATAAATTTTATTCGTCAGACGAGAAAATTTTGAGTAGTTTTTTCTAGTTACTCCTTCCGATTTAGTCAAATCTCTGTTTTTCTGAATTTCATTGATGTTCTCTTCAATTCTTCTCTGGTAGTCTTCGTCAAAACTAAACTTCTGAAACCGGTTGTCAAGGTTACGTATTCGTGGAGTTCCGTTTTTTAAAGTACTTTGGAAAGTGTCCTCTTGAGACGTTAAGTTCCTGCAAGAACTGTGAGGTATTCTCCGTACTGACGGAAAAGGTTTTGATAATAATTCGCGAGATTTTGCAAAATAGAACTCGGCAGAAGCTTTGTCCCATAGAGGAAGACGCAAAGTGGTTGGTGGGTCGTCAATTGATGAATGAGAACTCATAAATTTCTAAATATTCGTATTTTTAAGGGAGTAATATAGTGTTTTCAATGCCATTTATATCGTGAATAATGATAAAAAATAAAATTAATTAACATAAAAGAGTGTGAAGAGTAATTGGTGTTTAAAAAAGAAGGAACCAGATAAAAAAGGGATGAAATTAAATAATAGGAGCAAGGAAGAGGAGAAAAAAATTGTGTTAGTATGTGTAAATTATCGTTTTCGTTAAAGTTCTTTTATTGACAAAGCAAAATGTTAAATAATGCTGTATTCTATTCAGATAACTCAGATTTAGAGTCAATTTCTTAGTCGTTATACAATGTATGTAGAAAAATAGATACAAACACTTTAAAAAAATTCCTTCGCCTTTTCAAAAGTCAGTGTTATATTCCAGTGACAACCCATATACATGTCTCTGGTGAATCTGTCGATTTTTTTTAGTACGAAAATATCGGCTTCGCAAAAGCACTTGGAAGAAAATTATAACAAATCGAAAAAAATAAAGATTTTAACCCTTCTGTAGACACGAAACAAAGCAGAATCGGACCGGTGTTGATAAGAAAAATCTTATTTTTACGTGAGAAATCTCTTTTTTGAAACACCCTGTATAACAGCTTTATTACAAATGGAGCCAGTTCAAAATTAATCTGATAACGAAGAAAATAAAACTGAATAGAATACAACTATAGTTTGTTAGTCTTTATTTCTATTTACCTGCAAATCCGTAGTTGACAGCGCTTCTTGCGAGAAGTTTCTCCTATTTTCCGGATGATGTTTGTCCGAGTGATCGTGAACAGAAGGAAACTTGAAGCTGAACGAACTCTTCTTTTTATTAGGGGAAGCCGGGGTAGTGGGGGCGGGGGCAGATAATGACCTAATGTAATTTTAAAAATAGATTTTAATAAAATCATTAATTTTTTTTTTCAATTATTAAACCTACCTGGTTGTTATTTCATTAGCCAGTGCTATTGCAGAATCCAAGGTTTTCTTATCGTGAGCCGATATAGGTTTGACTGTAGCCTGTTTTTTCGGTTTCAAACTTAGTTTTTCTCTAAGCTCGTTGCTCCTATTTGAACTACAAAATAAAGCATTATAAAGATAACAAAATAAACAATATATATTAAACACACCCTTCATGGTCCAGACTGTTGTTTGTAGTGAAATTGCTAAACATCACCTCCATCTCTGCCATAAGGGAAGGACCTGTACACGCAAAATAAATGTAAATTTATATTTTTTCAGGAAATATTATTTTGATGGCACTACCCAAGTAGCATTTTCACGACTTGCGACCACATGTTTACTAAACACAACGTTGGATTAGTTACAAAAAATAGTTAGCTCCCTACCTTGGGTATTAAAATAAATTTAAACGTTTTTATAACGTTGTGCCGACGTTGGACTAGTACTACAGCAAAGTAGAAGCTTCTGCGACGTCGAATAAACGTTGTCTTGTAACCTTTTTTGCTTAAGTGATCTTTAGGTGATTCGGACAACGTAGTTACAACGTTGGACAATATAGAGTTTTCCGACGTCACTTTCAGGACCTATTCCAACGTTATGCAAACGTCGTCTGTTTTACTAATTCCGATGTTGTTTAGATTTCCTTATTCTTACGTTGGTAGGACGTCGAGTCACTACCTTTTTGCAACTGTATTTCAAACCTTAAATCTTAAATTTTCACTTCATTGTTCTGTTCAGTCAGACAGTTCAGTGCTGTTTTTGTTTTTATAAAAAAAACTTAATTCAAATGGGACATAAGAAAGGTACATATGAAACTATATTTAAATATACATCGACATATATTACCGATGTTTATCCACTCCCTCGTTTATTTAGATTATAGAGGGCGGCACAAGCTAGACTCTAGGATGACTAAATTAGGCAATCTTGCGACTAGTATACTACCTGTTAAGGCCGAACTGCGACTTTATTAGACCAGTATGCGACTACTCGAACTACTCCATCTTAATCTCCAAAACAACAAAGTGAAAGCCGCCATGTTGTTAAATAAGAAAATGTTTCGTTCCTAAAATAGCAATTCCTGCTTTTTGAATACATTAATTTGAAATATTTGACCCTAAAAACACGCGGAAACATTTTTTTCGACTGCGAATAAATTATTCTCATTTTACTAAAAAAAAATTCAAGAAAATTTTTAAAACTTCTATAATTTTAAGGCCCATTAGTATTTTTCAAAGTAGAAACAATACATTTATCAATAAAGTTGTTTGCGTTTAACTTTTTTGCCTTGGGTAACGAGTTACAGAGTTGGTTAAAGTGTTTCAATAATTATGATCTTCAAACATCCTCCACACTTAAATACTTTTGTTTTGTTTTTCTTCACTGCCATCTGACATATGTCTCTAACTAAATCATAAAAATAATATTTTTACTATAATTATCCCAATTTAGGATAAAACGCGACTTAGACGCCATATTAGTTTTGTATTTCTGTGAATTAGGATTTTCAACAACGTTGCAGTTTGTACTAAATTAGGCTTCTAGCCAACGTCGGTATCCAACGTCGTTTCGACCCGAAAATTATTCTCCAAACTAGTGCAGACTAGGGTTGGCACGAGGTTGCGCCGACGTTGCACCCCGACGTTTGGTCGCGTGACACAACGTTGTCCCGACGTCCAAATGCTGCTTGGGTAAATATAAATTTTTAATGTTTACTCGCCTAAATCTAATTGTGGACTGTTATTAGACTCGTCATCACTGATTTCGTGGTACTGATGGTCTAATAATGAGGACGGACTGGGTACGCAATCTCCTTCCAAAAGGGGAGCCGCCTCCAAGTCTTTGTGAGGTCTATAGGGAGCTACAACTTGGGTGGGGACACTTCCATACTGTATATAATACAAAAACGTATAAATCGGTCAACTAAAAGTTTGATCAAGATTTTTTTTATAGAAAAAAAAATTATGATAAATATTTTAAAATTTTTTCTAATAGTTAATTAATCCTTCAGAAATTATAAGGTTATACTTTTCTATTGGTATACGATAAATCGAAAAAAAACGGCGTCAAAGACGGCTGGGGGAATGACGATCAATAATAATTTTGGCGCGGTCAATCTCTAGACGTCGTTTAAAAAATTGACATGAAACTTGTCAAAAAAAGGGTTCCGTACAGTTCATTATATATACAACATTGGACACTATATTATTATAAACTTCTTTGCCGATTTAGCTGAAATTTTGAATGCGCATATAAGTAATTTAAAAAAAAAAATGAAGAAACGCATTACTAAAAATTGTATTAATCAATAATAAATATGTAAAAAGTAAAAAAAAAATATGTAGAAATTAAAAAAAAAGATTAAAAAAGTCGCCTTGACTAGGATTCGAACCTGCCTTACTACGGCTTCAACGTCATAGCAGCGTAAAGTCATAACGCTTTAACCACGCGGCCACCGAGGACTTGAAAGATTCTATGTAAAATTCTTACTTAAAAGATAATGTTTAGTGAAAGTACTTTTTTATTTATAAACATTTATTTAATTCTGTGGTTAGTATTTGTTCTTATAGCGACAACATAGATACATTATCATTAAAGCTTCAACTTATTATAACCTCAACTCAAACCTTCGATTTTTTGAAAGTTACATACATAGGTTACATAAACTACACCCTCTACATAAACTACATTAACTACATGTAATGTAGTTTATGTAGTTTTTAAAAGTAACATGTAGTTTTCCGAACCCTGGTGGACCCAATCAGTACTTAAAATTCTAGAGAAGAGTATATCATGCGTTCAATTTTACGATTTAATTACGTCTCGTAATTTTTAAGTGTAAGTTAGAAACACTTGCACTTTTGGTAAAAATAAGTGGAATTGAGTTGGTGTTCGACAGTGGTCGCGCTATTAGAACTCTGAATTCAAAAATCGATATCTCGAAATCCATTAGAAATAATTGATTGTAGGTTTTTTCAAAAACTTTCTTAATATTTCTGCTATATTTTCTTCGCAGACAGTTTCTGACAATCTTTACAAATAAAAAAGTTACACGTTTGCTGAAAATTGCTATGCACTAAAAGTAAATAAACGGTTTTTTTTAAATTTTCGAATGAAAAAAAAACAAACCTACCGAATTTTTCTCATTTAAACATCTTGTAAAAGATCCGAACTGTAAAAAAAAAGTTTCAATATCTAAAGTGGTTTTTGAGTTATCGCGTCTTATGTGTTAAAAAGTTGAGTTTCGTCAGCGAGTAATGGCAGTATGTATGTATGTATAAAAAATATGAACACACTAACGATATCCTTATAATTGCAGATGCTCAGAAACATATCTAATGATTTTATCTAGTTACCTTTCCAAAGGAGTCTTTTAAAAATAAGCGGTTTGGTTTCCGCTTCACGCACTCCGACTTAATAAGATCCCTATGCGATTTACTTCCACACATGTAAATACAGACCCAAAAGTAACAATTACCAGCACGGTATACTTACATTGCCTTTAGATCCACCTAAGAAGCTCAAATCGCCGAAATAAGCACCGTCGAGCCCCACGTGGCCGGTGTGCTTCAAGTCTCCCTGAGGGGCGCTGATCATTTCGCTTCTCAGCTTCCTACGAGCTGATGACCGGTTCGAGTCCATGCCCGATCTCATGAAGGACGAACTGGGTAAATCGCTACCCAGGTAAGCAACCACGTTGACCGGATCGAACAGACCGGTTTTACCGCTGGCAGTGGCTCCTTTCCATAGAGGACTGTGCGTTCTGGAAAGAATTGTGGATTTAAAATGGTGATTATATACTGTATTAAATCATGTGCACACTTGAGCACGTTTGTGCTGAGTGGATAAACATAAGGTAATCGCAAAACATTTTCCGATGCGCGTCATCAATTATATCGAAATTGACACTAACTAAATAAAATTTTGCCAAAAATGTTTAAAATTCTTGTATAATATAAGATACCGAGCCGTTCTTCGTTTTACTTTATAGGGCAAATGATTGTAACAGATATTTTATTTAGATTAAAGCTGCAAAAATTAGTTTAAAGCGATTTTTATTATCGCCATGTTGGTCAATTCATCATAATGTCAGTCATTGTTTTGTATTCGTGTTGTTGTTGAATCTTTCTTCTTCTTCTTCTTTTAGAAGGCGTATCGCCTGTTTAGTTCCGGTTTCCTCCTCGTCTAAGCAACTCTTGCGAGGTTGACTGCCAACTGTCTTGCCAACGTTTAGGTGGTCGTCCAGTAGGTCTTCTGCCATGGGGTACGTTGTTGCGAATTATTATGGCCATTCTGTCGGGGCCCATCTATTGACATGCTGGTTCCATTCTCTTCTTCTCTGCCTTATCCATCTGACAACGTCGTTTGTTTGGCACTTTTCTCTTATGTCTACATTTCTCTGTCTGTCCCTCAATGTGTATCCAGTTATCATTCTTAAGGTCTTCATTTCAGTAGTTCGTAGGATTCTCTTTGTTACTGATGTTTCAGCTCTGGTTTCCGCACCATATGTCATCACTGGTCGTATGCAGGTTTTGTATATTCTTGACTTACATTCTGTACTCAAATGTTTGTTTTTCCATATGGGATATTTAAGATGTCCTGATATTGCGGCAGCTTTATTGGCTTGTTTCCTTACTTCTTCTTCCAGGAATCCTGAGCTTGTAATTTTGCATCCGAGGTATTCGAATGACATTATCTGATCAATAGTTTTGTTTTTTATTACCAATTTGCACCGTAGAGGCTCCTTTGTAATGGTCATGCATTTGGTCTTATTTGTGGAAATTTGCATGTTAAGTTTTTCTGCCTGTCTGTTAAAAGCTTGTAGCATTCTTTGGAGGTCGTCCTCTGACTCTGCAATAAGTACTGCGTCATCGGCATAGCATAATATGTTTACTTTATGCATTCCCATTCGATATCCTAATCCAGTATTCTTGACGGTTTTTATTACTTGATCCATGATTGTGTTGAATAACAGAGGGCTGAGGCTGTCGCCTTGGCGAATACCAGTTGTAGTTCGAAGATGCTGCGTTAAGGTAAAATTTGTTCTTATTTGGGTTGTTGTGTTTGTGTTTAAGTCCTTGATAAGTTCTGTGAGTTCTTTCGAGACATTACTGCTTTCCAAGATGGTGATGATGTCTTTTAGTTGGACTCTATCAAAGGCCTTTGTTAAATCTATAAAACATAGATAGGCTGGAGAGTTATATTCTAAGGATTTTTCAACTAGTTGCCTGAGTATTAATAGTGCATCGGTTTCTTCGGAATCCTTGTTGTTCCTCGCTTATTGGCACTATTGAGGAGATTTTGTCCGCAACGATCTTAGTCAGAAGTTTCAGCAAGGTGCTCAGTAATGTTATTCCTCTATAGTTTGCTGGGTCTGTTTTATCTCCCTTTTTAAAAATGGGTATTGTTATACTTTGTTTCCATTCATTGTTGAATCTTTGGGAGTAATAATTAATTCTCCTTTTTTGCCGATTTTCATAGTCATTTTTTTAAAATTGTACTTTTTTAAGCACAAACAGTTCTTACACAGCTAAATTTTCGAGTTTTTGTATAGCATTTCTTGAAATTGTGTGTTGCAAATATGCCGAAGAATTTAAACTGTCAAAAACTGCACGGTAGTGTCAGTTTTTTCTCGAGAAACATACGCGTGCGTTTGCGCTCAGTTTGGACATTGCTTGTGTGAAGAGAGATATATTATTGTAAAAAATGTTAGGGCCGATTATGTAGATAATTTATATATAGAAAATTTATAATAAAAAAATGGTTTTTAAATTTTTAATATTTTTTTCTTCAATAAATTGGTTTACATTTTGTTTTTTTTTTATTTTCAGAAGTGAAATTTTCTTATAATGCATTTTAAACATCATTATCTGCATCTGTATATTTTAATAAGTAAACAAAATAAAGAAAACACTCTCAGAATGCACTCAATGTAACCCTAACTATTAATAAGATAAATAGAAGTATTGCATTTAGATAAAATATGGCATATATTCCTATATTTTTAATCAAATTAAATAAATTATTAGCAAATCGCATTAATGCCACTTTATTTAAATGTTTTGATTCCGTATATGGAGATCCAAATACAAAATTCAGCATGATTATTCATTATTAACAAGGGAATCACAAATATTACACATAAAATATTTCAAAATGCCTCAAACCAACAGCAATAAATCATTGATACCAAAAACCACTTAAACCGTTAGATAAAAAGTAATAATGTTTGAAAACATCTGCTATATTTAGCAAATTATTCAAAAATATTAATTTTAAATGTAGTCCAAGTCAATATTTCTTCATTCATGTAATAATTGTTATATTAAAATATTAAAATAGCAGTACATGACAATAAAAAATAAGTTTCTTAATTTAGAAATTTTTTTCCTAAAATACACCTGTAAATTACTTAAAAAATATATAGTACATTCTTTGAATAAGAAGACTAAAGAAGGAGCATATCAAAAATCTTAGGTACACCGCGATGGGCCTCAAATATGGCCGACTTAAATTCCGGTTTATCAGTGTCGTTCTAATTTTATTTAAAAAATGTAAAACTATGATGTAGGGTAGACGTGAGGTAGACGTGACTCAATAATTTGTTGTTTTATTTTACGTTGTGAATAAATGTTGCTGGTTTTAAAATTGTTATAAAAATATATAATTCTAATAAAAATAGATAAGTTATAATAAGTATTTATTAACACAAACATCCGATACGCTACTGAAGCAGGTAAGTCAAATTAACGTATCTAAATTCTTTGACATCTAATCTTTGACAAGTAATAAATAAAAGCTAAAATGCAAGAAAAATATATAATTTAGTTAATTTAAGTGAATTTCATAAATGATTGGTTTACTACACGTATGTATATTATATAGTCACTTACTAGCGAAAAGTTGTTCCATTACTTCACTCAATTTTTGCCGAGATCTACCGCACGCTACACAACCAACTATTTTAGAGTCTTTTTCGATAAATCGCGATAGTGTCACTGTTAATTTAAGTTCTGCCACAATTTCCATCTACATTTACTACCTTTATACAACTATCAGTAGTAGAATAAATAATAAATAACATAAAATCAGCACCGTAAAGATTGACAAATCCACAAAATTTCAAATCAAATTCAAATGTGTCAAATGAATCGTCAAACAGAACTGTCAAGGATCCCCACCCTAGAGTGCTTTTATGGTGCCTTTTCCGCCCACCATGCATGAATACATGGATAGCATTATGCTCCTTCCTTAGTCTTCTTATTCAAAGAGTACATTCATTGAAAGTAAAAGAGATGGGGACCATAGATTAATTAAACTTACAGGATAGCAATAATTAATTTGAAAATGCTTTAAACACTTTTCGGTATTTTTTCAATGAGGGCCATTTAAATTTTGAATGATTTTATAATTTTTGAAGATTCTAACTTTGACAAGAGAAAATTATTTCTGTTCTTGTTTGCGGTTGTTCTTAGCAACCGCTATAGCAGCGCCCTACAACGTATGCGCTCCAAAACAATAAGTTTTGGCGGCAAGCCGAGCATTCCAATCTAAACTTGTTTCGTTTATGATGGGGACCATTTCTACAAGCAACAGTGACAGACAGAACTGTCACTGTCACGTATCCCCTCTTTGGACAGACTGTATTTGAAAATTTTTCGCAATATTTACAAAAATCAAGACTTACTTTTTATCCAATACTGTAATGACATCACCTACTCTAAAACTCAACATATGTGGTCCTTCACTCGATGTTACTTTGGCCTGCACTTGCTCCGGCCTACTATCAGCTAGAATAGGACCAATATCCGCAAATCTTGGCCTAGTAGCAGGCTCGTGCCTCCAACAATCCAACATCAAATTGTAATGGTCCAACGGACAACAATCAGGCTGTTCCAGTCTTTGAAAATTCGGTTCGTCTATGGCCTCTAATATTTGCTGACCTAGAATATGTATTTTTTATGATAGAAAAAAGAAATCAAGCATTAAAATTGCTGACAGACCTGTTAGAGCAGCCCATGGTTGAAAGCCGTAGGAAAACATTTCCCATAGGGTTACACCAAATGCCCAAACGTCACTGGCAGTGGTAAATCTTAAATAACTTATGGATTCGGGAGCACACCAAGCTAAAAGTTTACATTTTTATGCAAAAGTTTTTTTAGGAAATTATTTTCAAACTTTTACCAATGGGTAATTTTAAATTGACGTTAAAATTAGTCTGATAGTAGTCTTTTCCTTGTCCTAAGGCACGACTAAGTCCAAAATCGGAGATTTTGACTTTGTTTTTCGAAAAAACTAAAATATTCCTGGCGGCCAAATCTCTAAAATAAAAAAAGTTGATCTACTTACATGCAGGGATGGGTGGATAAAAAATATTTCTTTAAAAAGATTTTCTACGTTTTATGATAACGTAAAATACTGTAAAAAATCTAGATCTACAGATTAGTAAAGTTTTTCCAAAAACGATGTTAATGATTGACCTTTGCAAATAAAATTCTCAATGTTATTTCAAAGTTTTTTTATTGATAATAATTTTATAAGAATTTAGATAGAAAAAATAAAAAATATGTTGGTGAGGAAGGAAAATGTAATATCTCTTCTTTTTATTAAATTTTTGTAGTTTTTCTACAGTTTTTTTTTAATTTTTTTACGTTCTTTTATGTTTCTAATATGTATTTTTGCCAAAATGTAAAAAATTATTATTTTTGTATGAGTATTTTCTAGTTTTTATGTGAATTATCGATAGCATGTAGGCAGGAATGTGCTTTAGTCGTTTTTTATTTTTGCCAAAATGTAAAAAATGATAAAAAACGCTTAAAGCACATCCTTGCCTACATGTCATCGAGAATTCACATAAAAACTAGAAAATACATTAGTAGTAAGTAGTACCGTATGATCGAGAAAAAACGGCGTCCAGTTTGGTTTGGTTATTAAATATAAAATGACAGCGATCTTCATTTCATAGCCATCGCTGACGCCGTTTTTTTTTCGATCATACGGTATTTAGAAAGTACAGTAAAAATATTTCTTTTATAATATCATATCACAGAAAAATTGAACGTCGTCAAGTTGGCCAGGAAATGACGATGGATGACAATTACCATAAAATTTTACATATAAAATGGCAGAGTTCTTCATTTTAAAGCCAACTCCGACGCCGTTTTTTTTTCGACAAGATAGTAGGATTATATTTGAACTGCCGATTTTTTATAAATTAAATATTCATTTTTAACAACTTTTCATGTAAATTTTAAATAAATGACATAAAAGTTTATAATACAAAAGTAATTTATCATTCTAAAATCCAGCGCAACACCGTTTTTTACCATAGCTTTAAATAAAAGTTCAAAAAAATATTTCATAGCATCAAATGTACTAGATCTATTATTTTTCTATGAAATAAAAACAAAATAGGAAGGATGTGGTTATCAAAATCATTAACCAAAGTCAATTATCAACAGAAATTCAGATAATAACATAGTATTTGTTACACTCCATAATTTTAACAAATTAATTTAAGCACTTTCTTCCTGTGGAAATTTGTTCATAAAGAAATCAAATCAATAACTAAAATATTTACGTTAAATAAAACAATCTTAAAATGATATCTTTATATCAACTAAAATCCTTGAAAATATTAGGTGACTGACACAAAGTTAAATATTTATATTAAATAGTATTTAAATAACTATATCTATTGAACTTACCTATGAATTAATCTATTAGCTTCTAAATATTGCATCCCATCACAAATTTGATAAGCGAAATCACACAAAGTCAGTACCGGGAAGCTTGATCTCAAAGAGGGCTCTTTCAAGCACTCTAGCAAAGACCTAAGAATATTATATTGAATCTTCAGGTCAGTGACAGTAAGAAGATTATGTTTAATTACCTTAAAGGTGCTAATTCTGTTACCAGCATAAGGCTTCCTTCAATGTTAGGTAAAACAACGCCAAAAAACCTAACTATATTCGGATGATCGATATTATGCATTATGGAAGCTTCTTTTAAGAATTCAACCATGTTGCTTTGCATTCTGTCTCGAGACAAGCACTTTATTGCTACTTGAATTCTTTCACCTTCGTTGCACCAAACACCTTGTTGAACAACACCAAACTCTCCCATTCCGAGCTCTTTATTTATCGTTATATCGGCTGCTGGTATTATATGTTTGCTTGAAACTTTAGGAGTTTTTGTCATAGTAAGTGTATCACTGTTTAATAGCAAGCTGGCATCACTCACTAAAATAGTAAAAGATAATAGAGATATAAACATTGAAATTTAATAAAAACTAACCGGTATTTTCTTGTTTTCTATGAGATAGAAGTTTCTTAAATTTTGACAAATAATTATGAGGAAAATGTTTCTCGTAATATTTCCTCAATCTTCTCATTTCAGGCTTTGACATTCCGATATCCATCAAATCACTTTCAGTTGTAAATTTTAGCTGTGAGGGATGAGTTATTTTTAAAGTATTTCTAAAAATAGAAAAAAAACACAAGTTAGAGGCAAGATTATTTTAAAAAGCTGAAAAATACTTACTTAAAGCTATTAAAATAATGTTGTAATTCGGCTTCAACAAGGAATTCATATAGCCCAGGGCCTTTTTTAGCTGTTGCATTTAAACCTTCTAAAAATCAATAAAAATATTACAATCTGTTACTCAAGCTCAAGGCAAATTAAAGCATCTATGCAAATGTACTACAAAAATAAAAAAATCATACCCATAATATTTTTCTAAAAGAAAAAACTACTAAAAGAACAATGAAGAACAGTGGTATTTCTAATATTACACATATATTACAGGAAGGTATATCAAGTTTCACTTAAAAAATACCTGAAAACACTTCCATTCTAAATGAAAACTTTTATTGTTTACATCAAAAGAAATAAATAAATAATGGAATAATAAATTGAATGCAATTATTTTCCATTCTTATTTGACAACTTCGACCCCCACCACTGATTACCCCCCACTGACAACTTTTATTGACATTTTACCACAGCAAACAATTTTCAAATTGAACCGGTGGCTCTCAAACGTACGATTAGTTTGTTGCCTGAAAAAAATTTAAGAAGAAGAAACGACTAAAACGACGCAACCAGATATACACGCACATAGGCGTCGCGCGTAATTTTTAAACGAGAAATATTTGTAATAAACCAATGTCACAACAAATACCATTACAATTGTATGCGTTCTTTACGCAACGGTTTGACTCGTTTTAAAATTACAACACGATTGCAGGTCCACACAGCTCTGATCTCGTGTTACATTATAACATTTAAGTAACTCATATACCTTACAAGGTTAAAATAACACTGGGTTTGTCTTACTGAAAATATAGTATGGCGAAATAACAATTCTCTTTTAAATAAATGTGCATTTTGCAATAGAGCATTTCATAAATTAAGACTATAATCGATTAATATGGGGGCTGGGTTGCCCTGGCAACAATAAATTGTTTAATCGACTTTAAGTAGTTAAAAAAATGTCAACTCTAGAGGATTTGCAAAAAATACAGGATTACCAAGAATATACCTATAAGAATCCTGGAAGAGAATCGTTATTAGAGAAGTATAGGATCCCTATACAGAATTTTGACTTTGAATATGTGTCAAGCTCCAAAAATGCTACGGAATTAGAAAAAATGATCAATGTCCTGAAATCAGGACAGGAAGGATATTACCCCGAATTGCTAAGGTATTTAACGGATCATTATTATAGAAAAAAAGTATTTGATGAGCTTTTTTAGAGCCACAGAGGATCGATTAAGATTACTGAAGCCCAACAGTAGGTTTTTAAGGCAGCGCACTTTGGTTTTGAACAAGAAAGACTTGAAAAAAGATGAAGTGGATCAAATCGCGAATGATTTGCAAAAATGGGTGACTGACGTGAGTAGATGCAGCAGAGAATTGGACGAAAGAAAATGTAATAAAGTAAGGTAAGAAAAGGAAAAAATAAAAGAAGCAAATCAAATAGACCGAACAAAAAAAACAAAAAAGTTTGCTTTTAATATATTTTTTAATATTTCCTGTATATTCAGGGTGGTCCGGAAACATATTCTGCTGATAAAAATATGTAAAAAAGTTCGTATAAATGTATGTTCTAAAATGCTTAGTTTCCGAGATACAGGGTGTAGAAGTTTCGGTTTAATTTCGATTTTTTTCAAATAATTTCTGAAGTAACGTCAATATTTGGATAAAAATTGGTGTCTGGGAGTTTTTTGACATGAGAAACTTGATTTTGATGTCAATATGACTCCTACTTGTAGAGGGCGCCACCTACATATTTTTTAACTGGGTTGAATATTAATAACTTTTCGTCCGTACCTGTATTAGACTACCGAGTGAAAAAAATATAAATTTACCAGGTTTTTACGTAAAAAAAGTCTCTTGGTAAAAATCGCTATAAATAATGGTTCTCGAGATATCTGGAATCGTAAATTATCAATACCTGTCATCACTGACATAAATTAAACATGTTGATTAAATATTTATTAAACTGATATCATAAATTTGAAATATTTTTGTGCCAAAAGTTCAACAGAAATTGTTTTATCATAATTTTTTTGAAGAAAAAAAAAAGTTCCCAAATTTAGCATTTCAGTCAAATAACTATCTACTCAAATGTCAAAAATCATGTTTATTTTTTGTCAATAATGACATGTATGGACTACTTCCATTTTAAATATCTAAAAAACGGTTGCTCGTAGCGCTTTTTACCAAGATACCTTTTTTACGTAAAAATCACGGAAATGTATATTTTTGCACTCAGTAGTTTTATACAGGTTCGGACGAAAAGTTATTACTCTTCAAAACAGTTAAAACACATATAAGTGGCGTCCCCTTCAAATAAGAATCATAATTACATCAAAATCAAATTTATCATGTCAAAAAACTCACAGACACCAATTTTCATCCAAATATTGACGTTACTTTACAGAAATTATTCGGAAAAAATCGAAATAAAAATGAAATCTCTACACCCTGTATCTCCAAAACTAATAAGCATTTTAGAACACTAATAATTTATACGAACATTTTTATTTATTTTTATCTGCAGAATATGCTGCTGAAGTTTCCGGAATACATTTCAGACCACCCTGTATTTTTAAAGTGATAATGCTATAATACGAATACGAAGGGGGGTAAGAATTTTGTAGTTTCAACTAAAATACTTCTATTCTAAGCATAGAATAATAATAAATCTTACGATATCTAAATGATTCTAGCTCTGATATCGGAATAAGACGCTTTGAACACGAACCCGAACCTCTGAACCTAGTTAAAAAGAAAAACGATCAAAAAATCTCTTCCACCGACTACACGGCGTGGGATAAGTACGACCCTGATACCGAAATCATGAAAATCGACCTGGAAGAAGAAAAAATCCGTCGCGAAGCAGCCAAAGCCAAAGAAACAGCGGAAAAAATAAAAAAAGACGCTGAAAAATTTATTTACTCCAACACCAACGTGACGCCCGCGCAGGAAAGTTCAAATCACAAGCAGCAACCGTCCAAGAAGTCAGCAAAGTCGGTTTCTTTCAATCAGTACGCGACAGAGGCGGAGGCGCTGTTTATTTCGGAAAGGGAGTTGGAAAAAGGGCGGGAATTTTACAAAAATGGCGACTATGAACTGGCGTTGCAAAGTTTTTCGAGGAGTATTGCTGGAAAGGCGAATGTAACTAATTTGAATAACCGGGCTTTGACGTTTATTAAGTTAAAAAGGTATTCTGATGCGCTGAACGACGCAGAAAGGGTTCTGAGCATCGACAGGAACAATGCGAAGGCGCATCTCAGGAGAGCACAGGCTTTTGAAGGTAGGTGTACAGGGTATTTCTCAATAAGTGTCCGATATTTTATAGGGTTATTTTTCAAGAATTTTTAAGGTAAAAAGTTCTCCGTTATTTTGGACTTATTTGAAAAACGATAAAGAGAAAATATGTTTCTTTTATTGAGATCTACCACCCCTTAAAATTCTTGCACTTAATTCTGGGACACCCTGTATATATACATGTGTTCGAAAATACTTCGTTTAATTTTTTTTCTAAAATGATATGTTCCGGAACCGCTCGAGACATTTTTATGAAATTTCGTACTTTCGTAAGTCTTTTCACCATTAAGGGTTTTTTTTCGATAAAAACTATTTTCTAAAATTTTCACCAGTGGCGTTCGTACGGGGTATCGATTTTAATATTTTTGAAAAAAAATAATATCTACCCTTGATTTTTTTTTGAACAAAATTTATTTTTAGAATATCCATTTATTTTAAAACAAAATTATGTTTCCTGGCTTATTTTTGGTAGACTTTAAAGGAAATGTATTTCAGGTCTGAAAAATTACGAGGAAGCACTAAACAGCGTGGAATTTGTGATTGAAAAAGAACCAAACAATGCAGTGGCACAAGAACTTGCTGACAGGGTACGAAGATATTGTCGCAACGTCTTGAAGAATACCAGAATAAAAATCGTAGAAATAGAATAATTAAATTTGCTGACAAATTAAGAAGTGTAAAAAATTATTTTTGGTACCTACTAAAATATGTAGATATCATTTTTTGTTCATCGAAATGAATTTTATGTGTCAGTAATATATGTAATTAAATACATTTTTTTAGATTATTGTTTTATAGATCCTAGAAATTAATTTTTGAACAAAAATATCATAAAAAATAAAAAAAAACTTTCATTATGATTCAACATAATGATGGGTCATTATGATGAAACATAAACATTATTATTTGAGAAATCTCTTATAAACGTACTTTCTGTCATTTTTTCGAAAGTCGTCTGTCGAAATCTTCCCTGACTCGTTGGACTGACTATATCTTATGTTAGGTAACAAGTCAGATTTTGAGCTCTAAGCTTCATTGAAACTTTGTTTATAAAAACTATCAAGTCTGGTGCGCTGATTGCCCGCACGTGTAAAGTCTGTCTTCTCGTCGAACAGACTTTCCATAAGACAGTGACAGTTATATGTCTGTCATTTTAATCCAGAGGTAAATTTAATTTTCTATCATTTTTGGATGTCGTCTGTATGACTTTGCATCAAAAAACTCAAAAACTGGTGAAGTTGCGTCCTAAAAAGCATATTCTGTGTTACTTTTTATTTGGGCCCCCACCTAAAATAAATTTCTGTATCCGTCCCTGAACGTATAAGAAACGTTAATTTTATAAAAAGCAGTATTTTTGTAATTCTTTTGTATTCTTATGCATAAAAGAAAAAAATATATAGGTATTTGAATTTTTAACGTAAAAATAGGTTATTTATGTTCATTTTAATTTTTAAAGGGACTGTATTTTAAAATTTAGCGTGGTACTATATTTTAAAGGTACCTTCAGGTTCATGAATTTTAAAATTTATCAGTAAATAACAATGTAATAAAATTTGTTTGTCCCATTGAAAAAGGGTCCTTTGTGCCTAGAAAAATGGTTTTAAAACCAAATAATTTCTAACCCAAAAGTCCCAAAATACTACCAATACTATTAACTTTCTTAATAACTTAACCAGTTTTTCTAAAGCCGGTCCCACGCAATGCGGCAAACACCTTTTTATTTACAAAAATCAAAAAATTGTTATACAGGGTTGTTCACAACATACGACACGGAGTATTGTAGCTAAACGATGAGATTTTTACAAATTGTAAATTTTGGGTTCGATGAAGGACTATTAGAGGTACAATTTAAAAATAATTTTACAAGATACAGAGTGTCCCAAAGAAGTAAAAAATATCAAAGTTGTATTTTTCTAAATGGAACACCCTGTATATTATTACATTTTTAGTTTCTACGATTAAAATAAAGGTAAATTTGATTGAGGTTTATTACAGTTAAACCATACCGTTTTCGAAATATTTTCAATTTTGTGAAATTGCAGCAAAAATTTTAAGGCTTCATTTCTCCAAGGGTATCAAAGTTTTTAATACTAAATATTTACTGAAGTTTATTTATTGATCAGTTATTGTGTTGCAATAATAAAAATAATAGTAACTTATACAGAGTGTCTAAAAATTTATTGTAAATAATTATTAGCTTTAAACGGCAATAACTTGTTTGATTTAAACGGAATAACCTGTAAATTTTATGAGAATCAAATGCACAATTTAATTGTCTATCAAATTGTATTATACCATTTTTTACCTATCTCTTTAAGTTTCCGTAGAAAATGCATTTTCTTGTAATTTAGAGCTTATTTATCAATATACCCATGGAATATTGACATTTTAGATTATTCTTAAAGATGTACCAAATTTTTAAAGAGTACAGATACTAATATTCTCGATATAATTCGTTTATTTCATTAAAAAATAAAAAAAAAACTGTTTAAATATTTGTTAAAGAGGACCAATTAATATGATTCCAGTATTCAAACTACATTAACTGACTGTTTGCGTTGATTAATAATAATTGCCCCAAATACTAAAAAACTGAGTTTTGTATGTGTATTAGACAGTGTGGTAAAAAGTAACACCTTAAAAATGATATTTCATTTTTTAATAAGTGCTTATTTATAACAACAGAGACGTTCATTTTGATAACTTATTATTATATTGATTTCTGACTCAAATCCACATTTATTTAGAATAATTTATTAACGAACATAATTAAGTATGTAATTAATTAGTATATGGGCGGAAATAATGGTGCTATATTTAATTAATGGTATACTCTTTTATAAAGATTTAAATAGTTTTCTTTTTGCATACAAATGACTTTGATAGACAATTAAATTGTGCATCTGATTCTCCCAAAATATACAGGGCGTTCCATTTAAATTAAAGAAGTTATTGGCGTTTAAAGCTAGAAATTATTTAAAATAAATTTTTAGACACTCTGTATAAGGTAGTATTATTTTTATTATTGTAACAGAATAACTGCTCAATAAATAAACTTCAGTAAATATTTAGTATTAAAAACTTTGATACCCTTGGAGAAATGAAGTCTTAAAATTTTTACTGCAATTTCACAAAAATGAAAATATTTCAAAACGGTAAGGTTTAAGTATAATAAACCTTAATCAAATTTACCTTTATTTTAATCGTAGAAACTAAAAATGTAATAATATACAGGGTGTTCCATTTAAAAAAACACAACTTTGATATTTTTTACTTATTTGGGACACTCTGTATCTTGTAAAATTATTTTTAAATTGTACCTTTAATAGTCCTTCATCGAACCCAAAACTTACAATTTGTAAAAATCTAATCGTTTAGCTACAATACTCCGTGTCGTATGTGGTGAACAACCCTGTATTAGCCCTATATTATCCATTTTGATTTAAATTCACAAATATAATGCCAGCTTTAAGCCTAAGGTTAAAACAAACATTCACCCCATCGTGTATTAAGCCGGTCCCACACGATGTGGTAAACTTCCAACGTTGGACACAAAAACATTTGCCACATCATGTAGAAGACTTAATTACAATATTGTCTAAAACTGTGCCAAATGTTGGTTACAACACTGGAACCCTTGACGCACCGTGTAGGACCGGCTTAAGACTAAAGCAGTAAACAATAATATATTTTAGAATTTGTTTCCGTAGTTTTATTATATTTAATTATAAGAACCAATCTTCAAGTTTGGCCATGGGTCAATGGACAATAGGCAATAAATTGGGATGGTCAAGAAACTTTATAGACTGTTGTCAATATACTTTAATAGCCCATCATTAATGTTCTTGTATCTATATATAGAGGTGATCCGGGTAGATATTTTTCTTTCGTAAATGGTACAAGAGTGAGTGAAAGACACTGTCTTGAATATTTGTTTATTCTTATATCTGTGGTGGATTTTCATTATCGAGTTTCACACTTCTTATAATAGAACAGGTATGTATTATATCATTTCTTAAGAGTCTATTACGCTGTACTGTTCGGGTCGCTCTCAGGGGTCGGGTAAAAGCGGGTGTGTGGCCGAAGGAAATATACCGGGTGTATAATAATCGTCGAACGGAATATAGGAAATCCCATGTAAATTTTAATGGGCACAATTATTGGCTTCCCTAATTATTTTAGAGAATAATTCTATTTAGGTTTATTGAAGAGCACTAAAACCCACATTCAAAAGAAAAACTTTAGATATTTTTGATTAGTTCGTTTACGAGTTATCCCCGATTTCTTTTTAAATATTTCTCCTTTCTTATGGCCCTGTTTTATGAGCACCAGTCAAGGTAAAAGATAACTGTCAAATGAAGTTGTCATTTCAGAAATTTACGTATTTAGTGCTTTATTATTATTGAAAACTCATTCCTACATCGGAAATCTTAAAGATGTATTTATAAATACAAATTAATATGAATTAAAGTAAAATAAAGTAATCAATTACAAGGTTAATTATAATATTATTACAATATTCAATAACTTATTAATTTAGGTACTATTAAATTGTTAGAACTTTAGGATTTAAGAAGATGTTCAAATATTCATCCATCGACTGCTAGACAATAACCCGGGCGATCATAAAATTTTCTTCTTACATTCGCTAGTTGGTAAATTGAAATTCTATTGCATTCGGCAGAAAGAGCATTTTTTATCCTTGTATATCCTGTTTTTTAAATGGTCCGAGAAAGAAATCATTTTGCGAAATATCAGGAGACCTTGCTGGCCAATTTACTGTATGATTTAGGCCAATAACGTACAATAAACTATTGTCTAAATATTCCCGAACAGCCAGGGTACTAAGTGCCGGGCAGCCATCCATTTGGTACCAAACTTCCTGATTTTCCCTAGCGGCATCATGTAAAGCAGGTAAAATATGATTTTCGAGTAGTTCTAAATAATATTCGGCATTTAAATTTCGCGTAAGAAATAATGGCCCAATAATATTGTGTCCGAATATCCCTGCCCAAACATTTACTTTCTGTGGATATTGCGTCCTTGTTTTGACAAACCTGTGTTGGTTTTCTTTGTTCCAATATCGATAATTTTGAACATTGGGTTCATTATTTAATGTAAACGTGCATTCGTCAGTGAAACATATGTTTTTTTAAAAATTCCCTATCCGTGTTTGCTCTTTCCATCATATCAAAACAAAATGCCTGCCGCCGTATTTCGTCCCCATCTCGTAGCTCTTGGTGCTTTTCATATTTGAAGGAATATTATTTATGTCGTTTCAAAATTCGAAACACTGTATAGTGTGATCTATTCCTATTTCATCCTCAAGTTTCCTTGTGCTGATCTTTCCATCGTTCTCTTCGACGCACAATAAAACTTCCAAGTCGGTATCATTTTTCTTGCATCTTCTCTTTGTTCCTGCCATTTTTCACATCTGCAGTTATTTATTAGGGTACCTTTGGTCTCAAATCTCTGGATATTCCTTGCGATTGTAGATTTTCCAAGTATCGGTCTATTCGGATACAGAGCAGCAAACATGTCCGACACCTTTTGATAACTATTTCCTTGATAATACCAGTTAATCATCAATACTTTTTCTTCGGTAGTGTAATTCATGGCTAATATTTTCGATGTAGGTATGAGTTTTTAATAATAATAATAAACCACTAAATAGATAAATTTCTGAAATGACAACTTCATTTGACAGTTATCTTTTACCTTGACTGGTGCTCATAAGTAAATACAGGGCCATAAGAAGGGAGAAATATTTAAAA